TCTCTCTCTCTCTCTCTCCCTCATATACACACACACTTTGAGACACCAGTTCACCTAACGGCTAAATGGAGGATTGTTCCATTTGTACCACGCCTGCTCGTTATACTATAAAGAGCCAAACAAACTGCCAGTATTTGTCAGCTGTAAAAATAAAACCGTCAACAAACCGTCGAAGAACCGCTGCCCTGCGACACTGACACAGCCCCTGCAGACCTGACGTTTCCCTCGGTGACGAGCTAAACCAGTGGCGTTGCTGGGGGGCACTCTGCGAGCTCCATCTGCAGCGCCGGCCCCCGTCTTTGGCTGCGGCGTTGGGTCAGGCCGCCGTTCCTGTCCCCCGTGGTGTCTGTGCTTCCGCACTCTGCGCTTTCGATCCTCTGCAGTCTAAACCTCTGGAAAAGGTTTCTGCTTCCGCCGAGCTCATTTAGCGGAATGAATTCCTTTCGCGTTTTCTGCTCCGATACGATCGTGGTAAACATTTGTCAGCATATTGAGTTTAGCTGTAAGTTGACATAAACTGGGTTGTATATATAATTAGTAGATAAATATGCATGTGGAACACTGCAGGTTTAAAAATACTGTCTTTGCTGTACATTAATATTAATGAATACATAATAGTGATATAAATAGCGCTTGCAAGTTGAAAGAGGGGAGCATAATTTCGCTGCCTCTGAATGTGCCTCCAGATTGAGCTCTGAAGTGTGCATATAGATGCCTTATCTGATCATTTTCCCTCCACATTCTGCCTCCCCTCCAGGCCAGTGAGCTTCCCTGAAAATCATTACAACATCCCTCTGACAGGAGGCGACAGAGTGCTTCCGTACCGCAACCCCTCGGCAAGCTTCTCTGCTCCGAGTTCAACGCTGGCCACAGCTGGGCTCGGGGGGCCGGGTCTGGGCGGGCCTTTTGTGCGCTACAAACCTTCACCCGACAGGTCAGTTCTTTGAGTGACGACTTGCTCTGCCAGTCCTTGTGTAGCCCATGCCCAGCCAAAGCAAACAACCTTGGCTCACCACCACGAAAACATGTCATGATTCGTGCTCCTGAATGAAATGCAGCATTGAATTTGCTCACTGATTGATGGACTAATATACCTTATTTGTCGCACCCCTCAAATGAACCGCACCTAGAATAATAACCAGACAAATTCCTTCCAGAGATACTAATAAACACTTAGAGGTGTTTGAAAGCAGCTACAAAGACAATCTCTTGCATGATCTGGCAACCATGAGTTAGTAAAAAAAAAAGTCAAAATTTTGAGGCCATTCTTAGCATTAAGAGGAAAAGCTTGTTCTTCAGGTTGTCACTCTTGTGCAGGGGGGTAGTTTTGTGCCTGGAATTTCCCGTCGCGTGTTTTTGGTTGCAGTCGAGATGAGCGACCGGCTCAGGGCAGACTCACTTGTAAAGGCCCACGGATCCCAACTTTCCTGTCTCAGTTTCGATCGCATCTCTCATTTAATCTGTGTTATATGCACTGTTATGTTCAGTGAAACTAATGCATTTCTAACGCAACGGCAAAAATCTGCCCGGTGATGTTTACGGGGATAAGCACAGAGTGTTCCCTACTCCTACGATTTTATGTGTGCGTGCGCGCGCGCGCGTGTGTGTGTGTGTGTGTATGTGTGTGTGCCCGCGTGTGTGTGTGTATGTGTGTCCGCACGCGCATGCGTGCCTCCATATGTTTGCGCATGCTTTAACTTGGCTGTCTCTCTGCCTGCTTGATTCTCTTTACAAACTCTAGGCACGTCAGTTTGCAGACTTTAGCATCTTTCTCAGAGCTCCATGCTCGGATCTGTGGTCTCCTCCCTCCATGGTGTCATTTTGACCCTCATTGGCCCGAACTTGGCTGCAGAATTTCCATTCCCTTAGTAATCAGCCTGCAGGTAACACATGTGTGGTTAAATGCTTAGAAAGAGGCAAACAAACGCATTGGCTAGTTTGCTGTTGGACTCGGCCATTTGGATGGCTGCCCTGATTCTTTTTGAGGGAGGGATTTATTCTGGCAACTGTATAAGTTCTCTGCGGAAATGGGGAGAGGCTGTGTCTGTGATCGGAATGTTGCTGGTTCAAATCCCTGGGTTGATAGTGATGTCACCATTGGACCTCAGATCGAGGGCCCTCAGTTGCTCCCGGGGCTGGCTGATCCTGCTTAATATTTTGAGTACCATCCAGTATTTTTTTTTCCCCTTTTCAACTACTGACCATCAAGTAAGATATTTATACATTTCAATTAACAGGACAAACTGTCTACATTTAGTGTTGTAGCGCCACTGTTTGAGTATGATAAGAACTAGTAATTATAATGGTCGTGTTGCTCAAACAAAAGCTGTGCTACTATGTTACAGAAAGAAATCCGCAGCCAACAGGATGTACGCAAATCTGCTTGTGCTGTCTGCTGCCAAAATAAACATAATAAAGGAGTCAATCATAAAATATCACTGTATCCCCAACTAGCCATTGCTGTTATTAAAAAGTACACAAGTCTCCAGTACAAAATAACAATGGAGCACAGATAAAGTAGTAATTAACCAAACTTTAGGAACAATACAAGTCTGAAAACATCTAGTTTGTATAAATTTTGCTGTGTTCAAATGCAAGGAAAATCAACACTAGTCTTACATACATTGCACTCAACACTACATACAGTACTGTACTTGTCATTTTCTATCAAGACATTTTTGTATAATATAAGAAACTATATTTTTTATGCCCCTGTATGTACAAAGTTACAGCCGTATGCACTGGGAGCACCACGTTTCAGGCTTATTAAAAATGCAAAATTGACAGCACTGTATGAAAAGTTTAAAAGTTAATGTGAGAAACGTGAGATTCCAGGGCCATGAAGACGGCTAACACGCAAGTGTGAGGCTGGTCGCTGAGACAAATGCGCAGCATACCCCAGCCAAGACTTTAATTTTATGTGATCCCAATCATTTTGGGTATTGCTTTTGGCTTACGTGCTGTTTGCGAATTTCTGCAATCTTTCAACAAACGCCAAAAGTATTCCTGTTTAATTGTTCACAGGCAACTTGTGAATGACCGAAACTACGAATGTCAAATGCACAGATCTGATTTCCACACAGCCGACGCACGACTAGCCATCACCCTCACTACTGCTCACTGTTTGTCACACTTAGGCTACCGGAATTTTGGAGATTTTCTGGGCGAGATGTATCTCTGTACTATTGGATCGGTGTCTTAAAGAATAACGTTACACTGATTTTTATTCTGTGGAAATCGAAAGATTAATCTGCTGACCAGATTGAATAATAAATGATAAACATTTCACCAGTCATATAAATAAAATATAAATAAAAGGCTGTGTCTTGGTTTGATCGTGACTAACAAATAATTAACAAAACACCTTGCTTATTCTCCATTGTTTAGGGGTGACGGTGTAGGTTTGTATGAAAATACGTCCTTATTTGGCATCAAGGTTCCTGTTGTGCAGTAGGCAAGCGACACGTGAAAGTGTTCTGGAGCTGCAGAAGTTTCTCGTGGAGATTACATTCCCATCTTCTGTAGTTTTATTAATGACATCAGCGTTTAGTCGATGTCTACTTGACGTTTTCGACATAACTTTCGACTTTCAGAAATCTGAAGCCTTTCAACCTCTAGCTGGTAGCAGTTATGACTAAAAGATAGCCGCTCATAGTTGTGTTCACAGACAGTGACTGACGCTTGCCACTTCCCCAGAAGGCCTTTGGTAGCTGGGAGCTGCTGTAGCACATAGGACATCTATTAAATTTGTGTAGCGCCCCCCCCCCCCGCTTCGATCCACTGCAGTCCCTGCAGTGCAGGTGCCTCGCACCTTTGCGTCTCTGCGAGCGCCCGGGGCAGCTTGGCCTACATCCCGCAGGCCTGACAGGCAGCGCGCCGAGTACCGTGGCGTACGTGCGGCGTTTCCGGGGAAACTCCGGGTTCCTCGGCGCGTGGCTGCCAGGCCGGCGGGGGGCGGGGACAGCCGGTTTACCAACCCTGCGGGTAGCGACCACGACCAGAGCCAAATGAGACGTAACAGGAAATCATTACTGTGCCAACTTTTCCTGTTCATCCAGCGAATTGAGCGCTCACCTGTTTTTTTTTTGGTGCCAAGGAAGGTTTGCTTCTGTACAGACTGTGTTTTTATTGACACTGAATATGTAACCTTTGATCTGACCAGTACCAGATAATAAATTGGTAAGCTAATAGTTTGTTTCTGCCAAGCCCCTACTTCAGAACCTGCTGTGAGTGGTGTGGTTTGTTTGTGGTCGAGTCCGTCACAGAGACAGAATAATACTGGATTTACGGACAGGGTTTGGTTGCCATGACAACGTTTTGGATCATGCTAAATACATACATTGTGGGCAGTGCCAACTAACCCAGTAAGGCACATAGGCAGCCGCCTTGGGTGGCATTCTTTGAGGGGGTGGCGGGCAATTTCACTTTGTCTCAGACAGGGGGCGCTATTGGTGAAGCTTACGTAGGGCACCATATGGACTTCAGGCAGTAATTATTGTGGTTTATATATTGAATATTAAGTTAGAGCTCTCATCAGTTTCATAGTCTGGTCCCTTAATGAGCTGTAGAGTCAACTTCCTGTGTAGACAGGAAGTGCCTGTAAAGGGGCATCTCAGAGGGTTGGTGCCAGCTGAGGGTCTTGAGCGGCAGTGATGTTGGAGGCTGGAGATTGCAGGCCTTTCCACTGTGGCCTGAAGACCTTCTCTGTGACCAGCATAACTGTCCAGTGAGGGCTATTGACACTGGGCCACATGAAGCCTGGATTGGGTCGCCATAGCTTATGTTGACCTTGGTCAGATTTGTGCATGTGTACTGGAACAGCGAGGTCCATGATTCCCAGCTGCTTTAGGTGAAACCCTTAGCATGGCAACTGTGATGTAAAAGTTGGGATCTGACTCTGGGTTGGACCGCGGATTCACTGCTTGGCGCACCGCTGCATCGATGGTCCGTGTAATTAGGGGATATAATTAGAATGCTGAGCTGACTCATGTCTCCTGACCGCACATCCATTCATGAGCCTTCTGTGTTTTTAGTGCCTCTATCCAGGAGCAGGGGCAGTCGGTCTGCCTGGCTAGTGGTGGTGGTGTCTCCCTGGCCATTAGGTGCATCTCTACGGCATTTGCGGTTCTTGCATGCTTGCTCCCGATTGGCCAGATCACCGTACATGCTGGCCTGTCCCTTGGCGTCGACCAGCAGTAAAGGGCCGCTCTCCCTCACAGGTACGGCATGTCGCAGCGCCCCCTACTCGGCTACGAGCCGCACATGAACCTGGACATGGCATCGAGTGGGGAGTCGTCGTCCGGATTCACCAGTCAGGGCAGCACCATGGAGCGGGTCAAACCTGGTATGGCTCCCCTGCACTTCGCCGCTGCCCGCCACCTTGCAGCGCCACCCTCCGCAAATGATACCCTTCAGAAGCCAAAGTCAGTACTCCATACGTCAACAAACAAGGGGGCTTCCCTGGAGACCCGTGGCCAGTCTGATTTACAGCTGCCTGGGGTGACTGCCCTCTGGTGGCCATGGAAGTGAAAAATGACACTAGGGCCATTATGTCTGTTGAGATGAAGCCTCTATCGTTCGATGGTGGAATGCTCTGGAGTGATTTGATGTGGACCCCATCCTCTTGGAACATATTGTAATACATTGCAGGGTACTAGTAACATATCTAATATATGCCCTCGGTCTCACTAGCATGTCTTGTCACATGCCTCCCCAGAACCCCTGTGGCACATGCCGGTGTCCTCACGGGTGCCCCCTGTGGGCGGGGGAGGCACACAGAAGCGATCAAGCCGGCAGGATCCCCCCGGGAAGGACTCTCCCAACCGGCACTCAAAGGTGAGGGGAAAGTGGTCCTGAGTTTGACTTTGAGGTTTGACGCTAAACAGGATGATCTTTTATGCGTCTGGTTGATGTTGTTTTTCTATTTTGCTGTCTGACTCTCTTCCATTGCGTCTCGTTTCCTGCACCTCTCTGTACGTCAGGGGGAGGCCCAGTACTCCAGCCACTCCAGCAGCAACACGCTCTCCAGCAACGCCTCCAGCAGCCACAGTGAGGAGCGCTGGTTCGACGGCGGCATGGGCGGCTCAGGGGGGCTGGGCGACCCGGCGGAGCCAGACCTGGACCCCCTAGCCAAGGGCGGCTCCAGCGACAGCGGCATCGACGCCTCCACCCTTTACACGCCGAGCCCCGGCACCAAGCCGGTTAAGCCGCCGCGTAGCCACCTCAGCTCCCAGAAGCCCCTGCACGGCTCGGCCACCTACAGCGGCCTCCAGGAGCTCGCCAGCCGTTCTGGGGACGGTCGGAGGAGGGAGTCGTCCCCGGCCCTGCCTGCCTCGTCCAGCCAGAGCAAGAATTACCGCACTCGCACATTCCCACCACCGGGGGCCTCGGCGGACTCCTTTAAGCCCAGGTGTGGGTTCTGGACCTGTGTGTTTTACAGCAGCATGTCTGCTTCTGCAATGCCTGATGCATGGCAAACCCAAGTAGGCATTAATGCGTCATTAGAGGGGAGCCCCCTTAGCAGCCCACGAGTCCCTCCCTATATTCCCAGGAGCTTCCACCTCCTCCCCCCAGTTCTCCTTCCCCTTCCCATCATCCTCCTCCTCACTGACTGACCTCCAGTTAACCTTGCTTGCAGTGCGCTCGTTAGCCAAATCCCAGCAAGGGGGCCGATGACGGCCCTTTGTTCCGGCCTGAAAGCGCATTCTTTCTCGCCCACCCCCATCGCCGGGCTGCTCGCAGATGGTCCAGCTGGGATGGGGGGGAATTAAAAGGTCATGTCTATAACTGGGACAGGCTGCCTGTCTCAGCACTGCTCACGCAGAGTCGATACTCTGGGGGGGGTGTACCCACGGGGGGCAGGTACAGCAGAAGGGCACAGCAAGGGTTCTGCAGTCGTAGATGGATGCACTGAGTGATGAAGGCTTGGTAGGTGTAGTGTATTTTTTGTAGTAGTAGTAGTATGTTTAGTAAATATCTATTTGGTTGGCAGCTGACTTGACTGTGGGAAAATGGGCGGAGTTCCACAACTGAGCCTTTCGGTGTTTCTTCTACAGCCGGACCTGCTACACCCCACAAGGGTACAAGACCCCACCGGCAGAGAAATCGCGGCCTGTTAGGGCCACCACCATTACACCGACCTTAGGGACGTCGCAGCAGTTGTCCAGCTCGGTGCCCAAGACCTCCTACAGCAAGAGCAAACACAACGCCTGGCAGCACCACCAGGACTCCGTCGCTGCCGGCACCTGCACTGGCAGCAGCTCGGACAGCTGCAGCAGCAAGAAGTAAGCCAGCTTATTCGCGGGATGCTCTCTGCGGGATTCGGGATAGTCTATGCGGAATTTGGGAGTGTCTGTGGGATTCGGGATGGTCTCTGCGGGATTCGGGATAGTCTATGCGGAATTTGGGAGTGTCTCTATGGGATTCGGGATGGTCTCTGCGGGATGGTCTCTGTGGGATTCAGGATAGTCTGTGCTGAATTTGGGAGTGTCTCTATGGGATTCGGGGTGGTCTCTGTGGGATTCAGGATAGTCTTTGCTGAATTTGGGAGTCTCTGTGGGATTCGGGATGGTCTCTGTGGGATTTGAGATGGACTCGAAGGGATGGTCTCTGCGGGATTGTCTCTGTGGGATTCGGGATGGTCTCTGTGGGATTTGAGATGGACTCGAAGGGATGGTCTCTGCGGGATTGTCTCTGTGGGATTCAGGATGGTCTCTGCAGTATTCCAGATTCTTTCTGCAGTATGGTCTCTGTGTGGTTGTCTGTATGGGATAGTCTCTCCCACAGAGGTTCTGGATTCTTTCTGTGGGATGATCTCTTCATCTTTGAATAGATCTGTACTTTCTCACATTGGAGGGTCTTCGTGTGCTTCCTTTGTTTTTTTACTCCTTACCTCCATCTTTGCACCTTATGGCGGTAGTTGATCACGTTTTAATAGCGTTGTCCGCGCTCATGCGTTCAGGCAGGTGGACGTGAATTCGAAGAACGTGTTCGGCCAGCCGCGCCTCCGCGCCTCCCTGAGGGACCTCCGCTCTCCCCGGCGCTCCCACAAGAGCACCATCGAAGACGACCTGAAGAAGCTCATCATCATGGACCAGCCCAGCGAGGCGCCTCACAGAGATGTGGTGAGGGCCGGGGAAACGCAGGCATACACAGTCACACATATCTAACAAACCCCGGCAGTGGCCATCAGGGGGCGCCCTATGTGACACGCGTCAGAATGCGAGGGAAGATGACATATGACAACTAGGTTGGGTCAGATGTAATAAACCGTATTTCCTTAGACCTGTATGCTGTTGCTCAGTCTGTCACCCCAATCGTCCGCAGTCCCCGCGGCGGAGCCTCCAGCGCACCTTCTCGGACGAGAGCCTCTGCAGCGGCCGGCGGGACTCCAGCTTCGCCAGCACGACGCTGTTCGACACCCCGACCACGCAGAGTGACCTGCTGTTCACCTGCACCCTGCCCACGCGCCGGCACATCCACAGCTCCGCCCACAGCTCACTTGTGCCCAGTAAGAAGGGTGAGTCTCGCTTTGCATTGGCCAATCGGCAGGCTCTTGCTCAGGAAATCACTTTGCTGACCCTGGGATATGAACCTTCTGCTTACAGGCCCAGCGTCCAACCGGCTGAGCTGCATGCCACCCATTTTACTGACGACTCTTTTCAGTGCAGTTTTCACACTTTGCTGCACCGTGAGATGTTTTCGTTCTGCACCACATACCTGGACAATCTTATGAGACTTATTTTTTGTTTGCAGTACCGCTGTCTGCCTCTGAGCTGTCACTGACGGAGGTGCGTGACAAAGTGCCCCCCCTCCGCCGCCTGGACCCCGGACTCATGCCCCTCCCTGACACAGCCTGTGGCCTGGAGTGGGCTAGCTTGGTCAACGCCGCTAAGGCCTACGAGGGTGAGGAGGATTCTGGGAAAGGATACGCCCCCTCTCTCTCTCTCTCTCTCTCTCTCTCTCTGCATATTTGTCTCTCTGTCTAATTTACAAAAGAGCAGTGGGTGGACGTCTCAGAGTCCGCACAGTCCGCCCTCTCAGCGGCGTCACCTGACACTCCTGGGAGGCAGGAAGCTGATTTGTCTCACTGGCGAGCTCACAAAGCTCCTCTGTCTGTGTGCCGTCCGTCAGTCGTCCTGCGGCCCGTTTCACCCTCTCGCGGGGTGGAGAGACTCAAGGAAACCCTGTCATTAATATATCTACCTGGCTGATGCATGATCCTGGGGCTCGCAAACCACCTTGCCCCAGTTACGGGTCTTTTGGATGGTCTTTGCAGTATAAGTTCTCCCTTAGGGACCACTGGTTGTAAAAGCCACTTGTGAAGACAAGGAAAGCTTTGTCCCCGCCCCTGTGTTAACCCCCCCCCCCACTACATTTTCTACCTATGCTGTGCCATGGATTGTTTCCACCATGACTGAAATTAATGACGGCAGTACTTACGATGCATTTTTCCTGGGGGGGGTTGTGTATTACAGTGCAGAGGGCGGTGTCCCTGTTCTCCCTCAGTGAGCCGCCAGTGGGGGCCACAGACCTGCGACTGGCCCCCAGCCCGATCCATTTTCATACGGCCCAGACCCCTCGCACGACCCCGACCTTCGCCAGGTAACATACACCGTTATCGACACCACCCTTCACCCACACAGGCATACCAGTGGTGAGATGTACAACCACGCACAGCTGCTCTCTCACCCACATTGGAGACAAAGATTTCTCTGCAGTGCTCTGCAGTGTCGAAATTCATGCCGAAGTGCCATCTTGTGGTCGCACTTGGTACTGCAACTTCCCCAGAGTAACTCGGATTTAGCGACTGAGCCTTACGTAGCGGCTTTGTTTTTTGTTTTTTTCTTCTTTTCGCCCAGCTGTGCTAAATCTGTTCTTTTAATGGGCACATACGGCTGTTTTTTCAGTGACGAAATCCCCAGTGATCTTTCAGGCCGCCTCTACCACCTGGAGGTGATGCTGAAGCAGCTAAACAACGATCTAGAGAAGGTGAGCCCCGTCCTCTCCGGTTCCAGCGCTGCCGAGAAGAACCTCGTGTTCCTGCGTATTATTTTTAACGCGCGTTCCTTGTCTCGTCCTACAGGAGAAGCAGGACAAGGTGGCCCTGCTGGCAGAGATGGCCAACCTGCGGGAGAACAACCAGCGGCTTCAGGAAGAGTCACTGTCGGCCAGCGAGCAGCTCCGCAAGTTCAGCCAGATGCTCACTGCCACCCAGGGAGACAGGAAGTGACATCGGCACTGAGGCAGGCCAGCTTCCACCGGCCCTTCGTGTGGCACTAGTGAGAGGTGGAAGGGAAAGGTGGATTAGGAGGGACTGGAAAAAGCAGGGAAGAGAGGAAAACTGGCATAAAGGAATAGAGCTCTTCCTAGGCTTGAATCTTTGAAGAAAAATGGCAACAGTGCAGTGAATAAAGCTGTTTGAATGGGGGAACTGTATAGATTGTGGTATGATGAATGAGACCCGATTGGTCACACTGTCAGGTCACATGTTGCCCCGATCATGTCTCATTAAGGTACTGCTATGCTACCCCACCCCACCCCACCTCCCCCAAAGGAAGGTTTGCTGCAAACTGGATGGATGCAGTTAAACAAAAGGGGTGGAACAGACCACCGGGATATCTGGGGAAGGATTTATTTTTTTGGGAGGGGGGACTGTGAAACACTACCCTGGGTCCTATTCCCAGTTCCTCCCCAAAAGCACCTCCTTACTTGTGTGACCCGATCGATGTTGTAAAGATTGGGGTTGTACAGAGCATCTCCAGCCCTGCCTAATTTGGACAGAGACCATCCAGGCCCCTCGCTTCCAGGTCGAGGTCGGTGTGAGATGGAGTGGGGGGGGGGCATAGATGGAGGCAGCTACCCTGTGATATACCTGAGTTAGCTTGGCTTTGACTGGAACAGGTACAATATTTAGTTAATATTATTATTGTCTGAGTCTTAACTGTATAGAAACACATAATAGCTTGTATTGTCTGAATATGTCCAAGATTTTTTATCGCGATTGTTGTTTTTTCCACTGTTACTGTTGATTTTTATTATATAGAAGTCTTATTTAATCCTCTGTCAGCACTAATCCTTGCTGTTTATGAAAAACCGAACTGTTGGTCATTGTCCCTAGAGGTCTATAAGAAGTAAAATAGCCAAAAAAAAAAACACTTGCAGGCACGTACTCATTCATGTCCAGGCTGGTAAATGAGAGACTGGACTAACTAAATATAGCCAAGTCCCTAAGAACCAATTTCCCATGCTGCTTTGCAGAGCATTTACGAAAACTCATGGCACTGTACGAGTGGGAGCGGTACTATAGATTTTGCTGTGCTGTATGGCCTTCTGTATCAGGCATAGGATGTTATACCTAATGCATAGAACTGTCAAATAGCAGATGAATATCCAAAGTCTAAGATCACGCAGGATTAGAGAACGAAAGAATCAAAATCCACATCTGGTAGCATATGCACACTTAAAATGAACCTCTGCCAAGTTTACTTCATTCACACTAGAGGTCAGTCATGTTCTTCGATCTCCTCGTGTAAATATCGATTTGATAGCTGGGGTAGATTAACGCGGTCCTTTGAGTGTACTGTCCTACTGCATTACGTGGGTTGGGGGGGGGTGGGCAGTTTTATAAATACTGTCCTTACAAAATTTTGGCAATGTGATGCAGCGTTGGATATGTCCTGCCAGCGTAATGCGATGACGACTGAGATGGTGCGGGACACTAAAGAAAAAGCATTGAGTAGCACAGGGTAGACGATCCTTCTGTTAGCTGAAGATGCATATTGAAAATGTGCAATGATGTGTAGTCAAATTCATTAATTTCGTATAATTTTTTCAGTACTCATTAAGGGGCTCGATAAATATCTGAATCTTATGCTGTATGGTGAATACTTATGATTACTTGTATCTATGCACAGTGGGGTTGGCCTTGGCATCAGGTGCGAGGGTCTCTGTGTCTGCATGGACGGACTCAGAAGGGCCCAGATCTCGTGCACACCTGACGGCCTTGTCGCTCACACCACTCAGCAAAAACCCAACAGCCACGTGAAATCGAACAACCAAGATGAATAACTCCAAGAAGATACAGCCCGTAAACACTCAAAACTGCTGGTCACGACGGACCCAGGCTGTAATCGCTGCTGCCACGGCAAACTGGAATTTAATGAGTGAAAATGTCATGGCATGGTTACCGGTTTTTTGCAATAATTCCAGACGATGTTGTTCACTTGTCGGACCCATTTTGCTGTCAGTTTTGAATTGCACTCTTCGGTGCTTGCAAAATCGTGTTTGTGGGTGTGTGCGTGTAGACATCCTGCGGCGACTTAAAGGTACATTGGCAACAGGAAGTGACATCACCTGTCGTGCCACAGTTTATCCCAAACTGTGGTATCGGATTGTACAGTCTACACTGTATTTAGCTAGATGTGTATTGACTCTTCTAACACTTCTTAAGAATGGGCCTAAAAAAAAGAGAATTAAATACCTCCCGGCAAATACCTGTGTACTAAGTGAACTCAAAGACACTATATTTCTATGACTAGATACGTAGTTTATATTCCTACAGAAATATATTTTTCTGAACAATTTGTCAGAGAATTTGCGATATGAATTGGGTGAGGGGGGCAGGGTCTGTGATATTTAAGCTGTTTGTCACAGAAAGGGTGGTTGAGTGCAGTCTAAGCTAAAACTGACATTAAAATGTTGTAAGCCCCCCCCCCCCACCAAAAAAAGAACTGTTATTCTAACTTTGAGGCCACTTGTAAGCTTGTGCAATACCAAGGCAGGGTTAGCATCTCTCCTTTCCAGATCAGGCCTGTCTCAGAACTCCTGTCGCTCAGTACTGTTCAACACGGCTGGCAAAATTCACCCCTCTATCCCACAAACCTGTACTCTGAACCAACTGGAGTCCTCCGTTGTTTCTCAGGAGCTCTGCAAATACAAACCGTATTATTTATTTCTATTTATTGTTAATGTGTACGGGTAAACCTGCACCACAGCTGTTGCCAATGACTGGATAAGTGTGAGAGATGCTACTCTGTGACATTGATTTTTTTTGTTTGTTTTTTTTTTGTTTTGTTTTTTTTTTGGGTACACCTGACTGAAACCACCCACTCAAAATATTATCCAAATGCACAGGCAGACAGTCGGTCTCCTATCACTTTCCCCCCACCACAAAGCGATATATTCATGTAATTGCTACATCTCTAATGACCCATCTTCAGACGGTATGGTTGAAGTCCTCACATTTGTACTGTAATTATTGTCACAGCCACAAAGCAACTGGAATCTTGTCACGGGTGATATAAGCAGGGACTCTGTTTATGCTTAGACGTTGGATCAAAATGCGAAAACAGGCTGTGATTCATTGTTCACACCATTATTGTCTTAAGTTTTTTTTTTTTTTTTTTTCCTCATGTGTTCCAAAATTTAATTTTTGTTTTTTTTTTCTTAAGTTGGAAAAAAGTCAATGTTTAAAATACTAATTACCATATTTTAATGCTTTGATGTTACACATGCAACAATTATTAATGGAAATTTTAAAAATGGTCAAATTGTATGTAATTTGTATTATGTGTAATATTTTGATAATTTATTTTTGAAACGCATTGGCAATTTTGCAAAGTGAAAAAGGAAAAAAGCGAAATTTAGATGGTACATTTTTTTTTCTTTTGTAAATGGTCAGATTTTTGTACAAAGCTGATTTTAATGTTTCGGGTGTTTTCAGTTCTCTTCAGTTAAATGTTGGGTACTTTCTGCATGAAGCAGGATTCTATTCTGTGGACAAAAACTTTCCGCTGATCTCTCTCTCTCGAGTATTCTCCGGATGTTGTTTTAATGCGTGTATATTGAATAGTGTAAATTATGTTTTCATTATTTTATAAGAAAAATATATTAAAAAGAAAAAATATTTCCTAATGTGGGAATCTGTTTTATTTAACTTGTAACCATTTTTTTTTTTTTGTAGATTTTTGTATGTTTGTTCTTATTTCTTTTTTGTCCTTGGACATGTACTGGGAACACAAAATAAATGTCTCATATAATTTATTGATTTGCTGACATTTATATTGTCTTCCTTGTGAAATATTACGGCAGGTGACACGAGTGTGAGAATGTGACTGGCATTGGTGATACTGCCCCCTCTGGTGGAACTGGGTCATCACACAGGCTCCACACTAAAGGTCTGGATGAAAATGCCACTGCACAATCACAAGCGTCCCAACTCGAACAGCAGCAGTATTTTTGAACAAAACCTTTTATCGAATAAAATTGTAACATTTCAGATACTATTAAAATCACATAAACCACTGTGTTTTATGCAGAATAGACAAATCCACAGAATCTTCCCAAACTGTGTTTTTCAGTGAGAACATTTACAAATAACTAGCAAGTGGCACTGAGTAGAGCAGCATTGCTTCTTGAAAAATAACACAATAAAATAAAGCTTTACAAAGAATACAATTTACAAAGAAGTACCATAGACACAAAACTGCAGGGCTATGGCTTCTACCCTAAATTACAATATCAATTAGTTTAACAAATAATTCTAAAACAACTCCACAGAATCCTTAAGCTCAACACTCACCCTAGTTTTAGTCTCACGAAAAATGTGCCTCCACTTTTCTCTTCCAATAATGTTTTAAGAATTTAGTCAAATTCCATTTAGGCAGAGAGAGACGTGGATTGACAGACTAAATTCACAGGTTAAACATGTACTTTTAGTGCACTAGGCATTGGTCACTTAGTTTGTTTTTAAAATATGTGCCACCTGCTTTTATCTGCAATATTTTCATTTTTTATTTAAAATATTTACTGTTTAAAATGATTATTGCTTGATGGACAGAGTTCTCTGCTGCTCAGTACAGTTTGCTCCATCACCTGCAGCACATTTTAGTATTGGCGTTTACACGGGCACTGCATTGTGGGTAATTCCACACTGAGCGGGAGTTAAATGTTCTCTGTGCAGCTCAGCATGTGAGGGTGCCCTTGGAGCACTCCTCTGGCTGCAGAGTAGTCTCTGTGAGCCAGCAGTGTGTGTAGGGGGCTTGGGACGACATCTTCCTCCCCTTCCACCTCACCCTTCAGCTTCACGTTGCGGTTCTGCTGGCAGCTGAAGCGGCGAGCCTTCATGCTATGGGGGGGGAAAAAAAACGTAACATTTTGGGTGAACTTACACTGTTTCACGCTCTTTAACGAGGCTGTGCTGCTTTTGGCCATGATCTGCAGACCTGTACACACGCCTCTCCTGCTTGGGCATGATGTGCCACAGATTCGCCAGCTCCTTCGTGACCACAGTGGACGGGGTACCAGGATGGCAGCTGTTTAGATACATGCCAAGAGACAGTCTTAGTTACAGATGACTGTGTGGACATCGAACCAAGGCTGACCTAGGGGGTGAGATTAAAGAGGCTACAAGTCTCCCAGAGACCCTCACCGCAAGTAAACCTTCCTGTTGACACGACAGAACATGATGAAGCCGTTGACACATTTCTTTTTCAACCTGGAGTGGGTGCCTGGCCGCCTACTGATGGTGGATCTTCTTTTCCATGAAGGGCCCCGCTGTGTAGGGCTCCAGTTTGAGTCTTCGTCGTCCCTCTGAGAATCCAGCTCCTCGCCATTCCTCAGCTGGAGGACCTGGGGTAGGATCGAGGTGTCACTGGCGACAGCAGGGCACGTCAAAAGCAGCCTTGTTCACCATCGGGGTTCCTCCTCTTCTGCTGAGTACTCTACCGGATCATCCAGGGAACGTTCCGGCGAGCTGGGAGCTTGGGCAGGGCTGGCTTTGGGGCTGACCCAGACATCTTCAAATAGCGCTGCAAGCAAAAAAATGGTAGGTTTCATGTAAAAAAAAAAAAAAAAAGAACAGAAAAACCATTGTGTGTCTAAATGTCTTTGTGCGAGTGGATGTTTTTCACAAACCTTGCAAGTAATCTTGCCCTTCAGGCAGCAGGAGGCTGGTGACGCCCCGGGCAGGAGAATTGAGGAGGGAGGGGCTGAGATTCAGACTCTCTTGGGTGTCAGAGACTGGGAACAGAGCCAACGGGGATGTCCATTCAAGTGAAGACCCTATGGTAGGGGGGTGCTTCTTATGCACTGAGGTGGTTGACCCCAGCATGTGGTCCTTCAGGAGAATTCCTTCAGTCCTATGAGGTGCACAGAGTACAACATGGGGCCAGCACACGGCAACCATGGCATAAACGTTCGGAACAAATTTGTCACATTTAATGCAAAACAAAACTTTAGATGATTTGAGAAGCTACGGCAAGTTTGTTTTTAGAGCAAATCGAGAAACTTAGCAGGTTGAAATAAACACGATAAGGCTGATGTCACAATACAATAATACAGGAAAATCATCCACCCTATGTGTCTGAAATTAAGTTTATGTTATGAAGTCTGTGCCTCAGAAGCATGCTGTATGAAACAGCATTTGCTTTAGCGTGAAAGTCGGATACAACAGCAGAAATGGTGCCAGGACTCACCCGGACAATTGAGAGTCTAGGAAGCTGCCCTCTTCGCTGCCTGTGTGGGCTTCACAGTGGTCACAAATAAGTTTTTCAGCCTCTTTTTCCAGGCCCTGGCCTGAATATTTTGACAGAAGGATTCGTTTTAAAATTCTGACTTGAACTACCAAAATTCACAAGACTGAGCCATAAATGGATGACGGTCTCACCTCTGTGTGGAACCGTCTGTGTTACCAGCTGGCTGAGACTGACTCCTGAGTCCAGAGAGCTCGGCAGAGAGTCGCTGTCCTGCACTGCTTGTGTCTCTTGATAAACAGATCGACACTCTGCGCAATCACTCCATCCATTCTTCACTGATTGGATGTCAGGGGCATCATCGTCTTCACTGACGCTCTCATATGTGTCCAACATGTAGTGTCTCCTTTGCTTGTCTTGCACATCTGCCCATAACTCTAGCATTTGTATTTCAAAAGTTACTTGCCAGTACAAAACGGAACGTAATGCTTCTACATTGATGTTAGCAGTGCATGAACAAAAACTCTTCACATAGCTTTTTACGGAGGAACCATAGACAGCATCCTGCTGGTATGGAAACTGCACAGCCTCAGTCCACAAGTCCCTCCAGTGAATAGTGAGGACAGCAGAGAAATCATGGGAACCTCCCTACCTACCACATATACAACAAACGCTGCAGCGACAGAGTCCACTCCATCACACATTACCCTCTACTCCAATTATATAGCCTGTTCACCCCCCTTCCATCTGGAAAAAGATTCTGGAACATTCTGCCCACCTCCACCAGGCTCTGCAGCAGTTTTTTTTTCCCTCAAGCTATCAGACTTCCCACCAACCTCATAAACACTGATAATTGCTCATTTGCTCTACACTGATTTCTGTTAATTCTTTTATTTCTTAATTGACATTTTATTCTTTCCTTATTCTTCCCCAATATGTATTGTTCACTGTTTGTTCTCAGCTGTTCCTTTTTCAGTTTTGTTTCACATGTGAGAAATGACAATTAAGCAACTTAACTTGATTCATATGTATATACTTTGTTACAAACCAAAATAGAACCATTACATTGTAACTAAATGTGCTACTAATGTTCTATGATATACAGTAAACTGATGCTATGTTTATAGTTATGTTATACTGTGATAATTAGTATAGAAAACATATACATATATATGTATATATATGTGTGTATATATATATGTATATATATATGTATGTATATATGTATATATATATATATGTATACATACATACAACAAACGCTAGAACAAAAAGAACAAAAGTTCTATTTACAAATCATTGCACTTTCAAAGCAGTTTGGCTCTTACCTATGTTGAGAGGGGGCTTGTGTGGCCTGCCACGCCTGTGCTTCAGCTGGGCTCGGTGGGAGTTAGGGGGTCTACAGGGTTCTGTATTCGTCTCTGAAAGGATGCTCTCACTTGAGTCAGAATCCCCACACACTGCAATCAAACAAACATGTGCATACAAGGTCAGGTCAGCAAACAAGAGCAGACCACTGGAGTCCTGGTGTTCCGTGCCAGTCGGAGGCCACGGCAGTCCTGCCACATCGCTGAGATCTGTGCCTGAAACGCAGCTTCCATCACCTTTGTCATGAGCCTTGGGGAGGCAGTGAGACGGCAGGTGAGCTTGTAGCTTCTGTATGTGGCTCCAGAGGAAGTCCAGGTAACGCAGCACATGGGCCAGTGTTTCCTTCTGTTGGGGACGAGAAAGGCCAGATGGGACTGAATAGTGGAGAAGAGGATGTTGGATGGGGGGGGGTTCTAAGTCATGTGTAATCTAGACAAAAGAACCAGCTCCAGTCATGGAATTACACCATATCTCAAAGTACTGATGCTAAGCAAATAGGTGACTGATACAGAAAAAATGTCCAAAGTACTTTGGTGAGCATGGTGCCACTGATGGGGAGCATAGCAGCGATCTCTTTCAGGCTGGCGCAAAGGTCTCGTTCTTCCTTCCTGCGGGAAGATGCTCATATGCATTGGGTTGTGTCCTCTCGGTTTATCAAGGTATTTTGCATCCAATAATCCAGTTACGGCCACGCGGTGATTACAGAAGACAGGCGAATGTACCTTCGGTCTCCTCGTCGGGATCTCCTAGGCGCCATATCCTTTCTCTGTCGCTAGAGGGGGCTGATGAGCTACACACGAAAGACAAACGCCGGTCGAACACAACTTAGAGGGGGGCGGACTGACGGGTTTTCGCTGTCCATAAAACCATATTGGAATAATGAGGCACTTCACGTGGTGTTTCAGGTGTCAGACAGCTCCCAGGCAGGACTGGACTTTAAGGTCCCCGTTTCCCCGCAGTAAATTTTGCCGTGCGATACATGTTGCCGACCGGCCGTGGTGGTGGTCACATACCCATCGGTCAGTGTTGGATAAGCTATAATATCAAACGTAATCCATTACAGACACAGCAGTAAAGTACTTTCTGGACCTGAACTTTACACCTCTGTCAGTAATGGATCACTTTTGTAACTTCTTCAACATTGCCACGGGCCCACGGAGAAAATCCCCGGTACGCCAGGTGGCCAGTCCAGCCCTACACGCAATTCAATGTACTTTTTATAAATTCTAGGATTTTGATTGCAAAACGAGACGTGAGTCCCTTTTCTTAGAAAGGATCAATGCACCAAGTTGGGCAAATTAACAAACCATATATAAAAATATACAACAGAATATAAAATAGACCTATACAGCAATACAATTCATATTAATAATTATAATATATAATGTATAATTTTTATTATATCTATATATATGCATACACACACGTATACATATATAATAGCTACATTTAAAATAGACAGAGACTAAGTTATATTTCTTTTTTTCCATATAAGGTATATATATATAAACTTTTAACAGGTTACTATTACTATTTCCTGGCAAAGGAAAAAGAAACATACATACAATGCAGGTACAGTACCACTTTTTAAACAACTTCTTCATTATGGTACATACTTCTACAAATAACAATAATTAAATATTTTTTAAATATATATGTGTTACACTTTAAGGAACGAACTGGTACAAAAACTCGCCGTTAACTATTTTGCTATATTAAAAATGTATTTAATACCTGAGCCGCTTGAAAGCGCTTAACTTGCCTCGTCTCGTGTCACAGACAGTGCGCGCGGACGGGCGCTCAATGTCCGCGAGCGCCAGGCCCGGCCTGACTGGACGCCTCGCTGGCCAAGCGGCACGTCATTGGCTGTCACCGTTGCCATGCAGCTAACCTTCATAGCCAAAGACACTTCCTGTACGAAAAGGTAATGCTTTGCCATGCTGCTTCATCACAGGGTTACCAACTGTCATGCATTTGGCGTGACACTCACGCTTTCTGATTATTGATAATTGATTATTGTTCAAACACAAGCTGTATGGCAAGTAAATGAAGTTTACTTAGGTGAGGTATTTAAGAATATGTGTTTGGAAGGTCACGGGTTCGAACCCTGTGGTTGGTGTAGTAATGATACCACTGTGGGGCATTTTAGCTGGCTGACCTGCTATCTGCCCCTCAAACTTTACGCAAAAGCGATTGCTACATAATGTTATACATTTACTGCAAGCCTGCACACAAGCCTACCTGGTGCTAAGTTAGTGCCTACAGCAGTAGATATATTACGATTCATATTTTCTCAGATTTCAGAATTACGTAGTACAGCAAAACTTACTGTACTGTTATCTCTATCGTTCAGAATTGCTACTACATTATCACCAAAGCAATGTACCACCAATACATCTGGTCTGATTTTCGGCCACGTTGCGTTGCTTTTGGAAAGATGTTGGAATGTAAATTTTCCCAGGGTCGCGCAGCCCTGCCCAAGGGTCATTGGTCACTTCAAACCCCACCTTTAGTAACGATAGGCCTCCATCTGGCTTTGTGGGCGTGGCGTTAATGTCACATAGGATCATATTCAAACCCCTTGTCCAAGTCAAACACTATCCTTAACACTAATAAATGATTATTATTACAGGCGATATGAAACAGCGGAAAAAAATTTGCCTGTCCCTTTAAGAGAGGGCTGACTCGTCATCTGTGTAACAAGACGGAAGTGGGAGTTGGATTAATTGAGAAGTGTTTACGGGTGTCATTTAATGCTGTTTGGATCGTAGTTTTTTGTAATTTAATTTATCATTCACTCTTTTTTCCTGAATGGTCTTTACAATGTCATGTTCAAAACTCTACGGTCAGATACGCCAGAAAGGGATACGGATACTGTCTGGGGGTTGAACACGGTGAAGTGACTGTAGTAATTTATCATGTCATTTTTTTCATATTAACATTAGGTGTTTTCGTAGTGATTTTGCCTTAATTTAAAGATGTTCTTTATATGTCAGGATATCTACCCAGTAGACAAAAGTTGTTGCTTTTTATAGCATATAGTAAAATCGCGGCGGAACGACATGCGCCGTGTTACCTTGATTTTACAGAGCAGTATTTTTTAACTACTCTCTTTAAAATAGCAGGGAGTCCCGAATAAACTCAGTGCTGGCCAGTCACTTTTGCCCCGTTACTGAAACCTTCCGGCCATCTGCGGCGCCGACGTGGTTTGATGATGGGAAGATTTTCTCGCCTTTTTGGCCAAACTCTCACTCGGCGATCGATTACCTCATAACCAGAAAGAAGTCAAAGAGACAGGTTTGAATTGAATTACATGCATCGGAGATCGGTTGATGTAATCTGCCTCCCCACGACACACATCATCACGGAGTACAGCATGCTACTATAATATGAAAAAAAATATAGAAAGAAATTGTAGGAACCACGTGGGCAGCTACTTTAAAAGTGCAAATATTGTAAATACAGAGTGTGCGCTGCTTTCACTGACGTGTACCATGCATACGCAGAAACCAGACTGATAACTTCTTTTTTTTTATCAACAGTGTCCACGGATCTGTGGGTGCAGTACGCGTGCTTTCCAGTAAAGCACCCAGGGAACACGTAGCTGGGAAGGTTCTCGCCCAGCCGCATTAATATGTCAAAAGGCATCCGGAGGTACAAGAGCGCAGCGGCCGGGAACGGCGTGGCGCTCGGCCGCTGCGAGCGGATCCGGATGCCGCGGGCGAAGGTGCTGCTCTGCTGTCTGTGCGGGTTGCTGGCCGTGGCCATCATGCTCGGCTTATATATGTCCGGCGACCTAAGCAGCAGCAGCAGCACGCGGACCCACGCCGTGGACCTTACCAAAGACAAGGTATGTGCTGCAACGTAATCGCATCTGTTAAACTGTCCGATTTGTGTAGTTGTTGCCAAAGTGTCGTTCAAAATCACTTGCTGATTATTTTGACTCATATATCGGATGGATATGTGTAGCTTTAAAGTAAATATTTCCTTAATTAAGCTGCGTTGGAAATGGACACGCATGCACGTAAATGTGCACCGCGTGATTCTCTCTGGCAAGTTTAATAAGTGGTAGCTATTTACATAGTGCTCATACTGCCATATGGACGGTTTCCATTGATGGGAAGGCGAATGCTGAACACGATTCGGACTTTGGCATCTGGACAAGACAGTGTCCTGTTAACTACCATTTTGTCCTGCTGGATGACTTGCTTGTCACCTAAAGCAAGATAAATTTATGTGGCCACCTTTTCTCGGGGTTAACATCTGTCATGCATCTGGCGTGACACGCACGCCTTCTGACTCAAACGCTCTCGCAAGAAACCTTGCGGGAAATCTGTATTATTCCATTATAAACCAAAAATTAGCAACGTAAAAGTCGTTGGGGTAGTTTACACACGTACCTACAGACTATTTGCAAGGTAATAAAACTGTTACATACATGTAAATACGTGTGTGTCTAGAAGTGAAAATCTCACGCCAGCCAGCTGACCAAAGTTGGCGGCTTTGGTTCCTGTCATTACTTCTCAGATTCACATTTTATGCCAAGCCTTGCAATATATCTGCATTCTGTCGTGTTTGTCCTTCCCCTGTCACACTCCGGTCTGCATTTTTTCACCCTCCCTCCTCCGCAGTTGTCTCACAGGCCTTCGAAGCTGTCTGTGGCCCAGGTGAAGCGGCTCGTCTCCCATGCCAGCCTGGGCCGCTTATGGGAGACCCACCTCCGGCCGATCCTCAGAGAGAGGCTGCCGGGCACCGCGGGCAGCAAGCTGGTGCGCCAGGTGGGTCCCTGGGTGCCTCGAAAAAGTGCCTGTTCAATTACGCTTCAGTCAGTTTGCGTTTCTTTTCGGGGGGGGGGCTCAGATAAACCCATTATTGGGGCCCTACCTGCAACATAAATTGCTGCTGTAAGAACCAGAAAAATAAATTGGGACCCCCTAAAATTTAGGGCCCTGGGCTGGTGTCCAGATTGGCCCTTGCATCCATCCAGCCTGATACACAATTCTACACATTTCCTAATGTGTTTTTAAAGAAACAGCACAGCATTCTACACAAGGATACAAACTCAAGCCAAGTTAAGAAGGTTTATTTGTCATTTCAGCCATATACACAGTATACAGTGAAACGAAACCTTGTCCCTCTGGGGCCAAGGTGCACATTAAAACTGCAGTGTTTTACTGGAAATACTATATTTAGTAATTCTACTGCTGCCTTTGCTTGTTCCTGGTGTGCTTTATTTCTCCATCTTGTTTATCGTCATCCTACCCTCTCTCTACTCCTTGGCTCCCCACTTTCAGCACATCATCTCCCAGCTGAGGTCTCTGTCTGCGGGCTGGTTGGTGGAGACGGACTCCTTCAGCTCCCCCACGCCGCACGGCTCCGTCATCTTTTCCAACGTGCTGGCGGTTCTGGACCCCATTGCGCCCCGTCGGCTGCTGCTGGCCTGCCACTACGACTCCAAGGCCATCCAGCCGCCGCCGGGAGAGACCCAGAAGCCGTTTGTGGGAGCCAGTGACTCGGCTGTGCCCTGCGCCATGATCCTAGAGCTGGTCACTGCCCTGGACAGCCAGCTGAAAAGCCTCACCCAGCAGGTACAGCGACGAGCAACAATTCGCCGCAGTTATTTACCATATTATCAAAGCCTTTTTGTTTTAGAACTGTAGAAACTACTTGTGTCAAAAGCCATTCAATGGAAATTTTGTATTGGTATAAAGGGTGGTGTGTGGGTAAGTGGGTTTGGATGCAGTGCCTCTGATCAGAAGGTTGCTGGTTCAAATCCCATGGTTGAGCAAGGCCCTTAATCTGCAGTGGCTCCGGGGACTGTATAAACCTGCTTCCTCTCAAAAATGTACATTGCTTTAAATAAAAACCTCTGCTAAATAAATAAAAATGCAAATCAGTGTCTTAGGCTTTTAATCATTCTAATAGAACAAATTTAAGCAAGTAGCCTTCCTCTAATGATCAAACTTTTAATCACGTCTTTCTCTAGAGCGGTTTAACTGAAAACTGCCAATTTCACATTAAGCAACATTTTTGGCATTTCTGTTGGAAATCGGGTGGGATAAATGTTTCAATGCAACCTCCACAAGCTCTCGTTTACCTTAAGGAGGGAGGAGTTTCGCCGAGGGTGTCAGGGGAAGAACAACACTTAGTGTAATTAATTTTTTAAATATATTCTTTATATAGTGCATAGATAGTTGCCCATGAGCATTTATCCCAGATTCTAAACAAGAATGTCGCATTTATTTCTGTATCATTCAGTGAGGCAATAATGACCGTAATGGGAGACGCTTGGAAGAGGGTGAGACACTGCAGGCACTGCGGAGAGGGTTACTGTAGGTGCAGAGAGAACGTGTTTTTGCCCGGGTCCCCTCGCCCCACCCCCCCTCCTCGCACAGAAAAACTGCTGACAGCAGCTGCAGTGGGACTGTGACAGCTGCTTCAAGCGCTGATTTATAGCCACACGGCGGCTCCGCTCGGCTGAATTACCATCATGCTGCCTTTTGGAACAATAAATAGAAAAGAAAGCAGGTATTCCTGTCGGGGGGGAGACTGTACCCCCACCAACACTTTAATGCCAACAGCTAGGAAGCAAGACATATTTCTTCCTGACATCTCTGCTTCCCCCCCCCAGTTGATAATACTTTGAGATTTAAGAAAAAAACAGTGATGATTACTTAGTATTATTATTAAATTCTTCGCCAGTGTTAGTTTCACTGGGTGATTCACTGGTGCCGTGACTTTGCTCCTGGTTTCCTAAGCCATGCCAGTTAGGAGGTCTGGGGTGTCAAAGGTAGCTTTAGTCTGTGGTTGGCGTACGTAGACCTTTATCCCATCTGGGGTACAGCCGAGCTTATGACCTGGGCATTCCGGCGATATTTGTAATGAAGTACATTTTCCTGGTGTAATCATATAGGGGTACTTGGAGCGGCACGGTGGCTCAGTGGATAATGTTGGTGCCATTGCCTCTCTGAATCCCACCTCTTCTCTGTGTTCTGAGTTGGCGTGTTATGTTTTAGCAGGTGGGCCTGCTCCAGATATTCCAGTTTCCTCCCACAGTTTCTGGATGGGTGGGTGGTGGGATGGATGGGTGGATGGATGTTGGGGTTGAATAAGAACACTCATTTCACTTCATGTCTGGCTTTATTTTCAAGAGTGAAAGCAGGTGGCTGCTCCTGTTCATTCCCTTCTGCTTTTGTGCATCCATCACTCCAGAAGGTCCCGTTGACTCTGCAGCTGGTTTTCTTCGACGGCGAGGAGGCTTTCCAAGAGTGGACGGCCACAGACTCCTTGTACGGTTCCCGTCACCTGGCCGAACGTATGTCGCACGCCCCCCACCCAGCAGGAGCCCCTCACACCACACTGCTCCAGGCCGTGGTCAGTGCCAGCACGGCCGCGTACGTCTTCACCCGTGCTATTAAGTGCGCGGTCCGCTCTCTCTCTAGCTGTAACTCATACAGTTATTCATCCCCCAAGGATTTATTTGTTCTGCTGGACTTGATCGGCGCCCCTGATCCATTGTTCGTCAATCACTTTGACAACACCGCCCGCTGGTTTGACCGTCTCATTGCAGCAGGTGAGACATTCACAAAATACTGTAAGGCGAAAATGCATTTTAATACAGCACGTCTAACGTAACAGACATCATAGCCTAGCCTAGCCTAGCTTAAACATGCTTAGAACACTTACATTAGCCTACAGTTGGGCAAAATCATTAACACGACGCCTATTTTATAATAAAGCGTTAAATATCTCATGTAACTCCACTGAAAGTGGAGCAACAGAATGGAATTGGAATACCCTTCGGAAAATCGTAATATCGTAACAGACCATCGTAACCCGGGGAGCGTCTGTACTGTATAAATTCGTCTGGCCCAATGCTTCTTCCATTATTTATGTCCTTGAAATTGACAAGACGTATCCAAACTTGTCTATATATGAAAGCAAACAAAAGTTGGGGGACTAGCATTCCATCTTAGATGCTTTGTAGTTTTGTTTAGAGGAGCTTTTGTTTGGTCACCTTCTTCACGAGTTTCGTTGGTTGTGCTGAAATGTTATTTGACTGAGTCCCTTGGAGCTCACAGCTCTCAGCACATTTGTGAAAACACTCCATTATTATTGCACTCGATTACACGCTTTCCTTCCCCCCCCCCCCCCATCTACCACTTAACATCTCCCTCTCCTCCCCACTCCAGAGAAACGACTGCACAAGTTGGGCCTGCTGTCTTCCCACCCCAGTGAGCAGAGCTACTTTCGGAAGGATGTGTACCTGGGTCCCGTGCAGGATGACCACATCCCTTTCTTGCAGAGGGGTGAGCGAGCTGGCCATGCACTGGTGCTGTAACGGTCATGCGTTCGCTGAGAGAGGCAGGAATGCTGGAGCGTTTGGAATGTGTGTGATGCAGTTTCTGCACGATCGCATTGAGATTGAGTATTTAGGGCAGATATTTGCAACTGTCTTAGCCTTAGGGCCCATATCGTTCCTTGGTCAGTAAGCCATGACCCAAACTCCTGATAAAACTTGTCATCGGGTTGGGAGACTAGGGATTTAATTTCTTTATCTATTTTTTAAATCATGCCCTCCACGACCCACTGAAAATAGACTTACAACCCATGAACTGAGAAACACTGATTTAGGCTGTAACTACTAAATAGGTTCTGAACCCACATGACACCCCTCTCTGTTCCTGTGTCCCCCCCCTCCACATTCAGGGGTCCCTGTGCTTCATCTCATCGCTACGCCCTTTCCCTCCTTCTGGCACACGCTGCAGGACACCGAGGAGAACATGCACGCTCCCACCGTGGAGAACCTGACGAAGATCATGATGGTGTTCTTGGCAGAGTACCTGGGCCTCTGAGGGACCCATTGGGGGTGGGGGAGAGGACCTTGTCTTGACTTGTCCCGGCAGCTGTATCCTAATTAGGCGTCACCTGCTTCTGGCTCGTACACCCTGCCATCCAGATGCGCTCAGCGCTTTGTCATCTCTTGGCTCACACCTGCTCGGACAACTTGGAGCCTGGGCACAGGAAAAGCGCATCACCTGGACACACAAACTTGACGAGGTGGTTTAATATACATATAAGCCAATCAAAAATGGCCACAGGCTGAAGCCACGCCCTCACTCAGTTCCCATTGGCCAATATATTACTGCTCAGACTAGCAGCTCATCTCTGTCTACCTGGTTTTCGGTTAGGAGCTGCTCTGTGCCATGAGGAAGACTTGGGTGGATTGTGTGATCGCTGCTCGAAGTTTGAGTTCCTCCCTCTCTGCTCTCGGAACACATACTAACACCACAGATTCCGTTCTTATCGGGCTTCTGTTTACTATTTCGAAAGGTTTAAGAAAGAGAACAAAACTTGAAGTTATTGAACTGAGTCCCTTTTGTCCAGTTCTTTCAAGAAAGGAAACCTATACATATATTTTTAGAAGAGAAAGTATTCAGTCTAGAATTTATAATTTGTTTCTGAATGTGGTTTTGAAGCACATTTCTCAATATGGGACATTTTTCATAAGGAATATAATTGAGTATGATCGAAGTTAGGCTTGGTATTAATGGTTGACCTGTTAATGACGGAAGCCATAACTGTCTTTAAAAATGTATTAAAGTCAGACTTTGCATGAAAGATTGCTTATCAGTATAGTAGATAACACAATGTTACACCGCATAGCAACCATACTGCTTCCGTTCTAACAGGCAGCATTAAAACATGCAGGGACCGTTCATCCACTCACATCTCATTGCTAAATAGGTTAAACCATTTAGTAGTTATGAGTGGACAATCCCGAACCTTATACAGTCTCTTCCTTTTATACCACCCTCTTACTATGATTCTTTAGTTGCGCTCCTGAGAACTGGGTCTTTGAGGTATGAGCAAAGCCCTTAGAAAATACTACAACAACTCCAAACCCAATGGAGCAGAAACGCAGACAGACTGTGGGGGCACTCAAGAGTGACGCTTCATCCTGATCCCTGTAAGCATCACTCGAAAAGACAAAACGGGGAACTCGAGCTTGCTAGTAAATGTGAGTTTGGGGACCACCCAGATGTCCCCAAATTCCCTTTCGCAGCCAATGACAGGCTGATGAACTCCTTCCAGACGATAAACGCAGTTTGCAGCCTCGCATGGCAAGAATCGCTATCAGGAGTCACCATACAGATTTGTCACCATCATGCAAACAGAAAACATCGTCGGGATTAAAAAAAAAAAATTCAAATTTGCAGCTATCAATCAGGAAATGCAAAAATCTTTTCAAACTCATCCAGATGTGCTTCAGATCCTCTGCATAACTTTTGCATTAAACAAATGCAGATCTTTATTATTAGACATCCTGAACATAGCCATATCACTACAAGGAGCTACCTTCAGTCTGGCTGCTTGGTGACAGTGGGCCAGTATCTGACCATTTTAATGCAAAATAATTGAGAAAGTTGTTAAATTGAGAATAGCTGTATTATAAGGGGGCGGCATGGTGGTGCAGTGGTGAGCCTTATACCTCTGGGACCTGGGTTCAGGTCTCTGCCAGGGTTCCGTGTCCCTTATGGTGGGTTGGTACCCCATGCTGGGTTCCCTGCCTCGTGCCCATAGCCCCCAGAGTAGGAGACCCCCTGCAACCCTGAATAGGACAGTTACAGAGAACGTTGGGATGTAGTGTAATGATGAGCTGCTCTCAGTGATGCATGGCTTTGACTTTGCAGGTTATGCACCATATGCTCAGCAATATTAATGAGCAGGAACGCAGCTGATGAGTTTGCTTTATATTCAGTGCATGACACTCGTACCAAACATTAAGCCGTTTATTCACTATAAAAAAGGCATTAACTACAGACGCTAAAACAGCACACAATCCAATCATGAGTGGATCTCCTCAGGTGGCAGACTGCTGAGGTTCCCATCTTCATAACTGCCCTCTACCCAGGACGCCCACTGGGGGCTGATGGGAAGGGGGGTGCGGGCAGCTGTACAAAGTGACTGGGCTCCCTGGATGGGGGAGGTCTTCATCGGAACTTGCATATCCTGCTCCTGGGGTCCGATCTGACCCCTCTTCCTCCCTGAGAAAGTACATTCGCTTAATTTGGTGAAATTGAGATTATTCACCAATGTTTTTGTGTAACTTTTGTTCTGGCATATATGGCCTAGTACAAGTCAATTGTGTCTTTTTATTATTATTTTTTTTGCCAAGTCAGTGAATTTCACTTAGGTCCCTTTTGCAAGGATTATACATCCTTGTAGTTTTACACATCTGCTTATTTGTAATGAAAAAAAAAAAGATTTTTCACTGAGGACCTTGCACAAGCAATGGTACATCCATCCAGTCTATTATCATGAGAACTCAATCCTTACAGATCTAAAAAGTGTCTGAAAACATTTCACCAGCAGGGGGCAGTATTGGCCAACTTTTAAGAGGCAGACTGACCTTGTAGGAAGATGGCAAAAAAACAAAGACTAAGATAAGAAAACTTTGAAGTAAGGAAAGAAATCATTGCAGAGTCAACGGTGTCCGATTTTAAGGAAAAAAGAAAAACAAAATGACGATGATAATGCAGAAAGGGATCCAGCTCTCACCTATACCGGCACTGGGCGGCCCGATCTCTCTGGCGCCGGTTCTTGAACCAGTTGCTGACCTGTGTGGCAGTGAGGCCGGTGGCAGCCGCTAGGTCTCGCTTCTCGCGGGGCGACGGATACGGTTTGTGGCAATACCACTCCCTGAGCATGCTGCGGGACTTCTCCTATGGGACGGCGTGCGGACACACAAAGGAGAGGAGAACCATGCAGCTTCTGTCTGACCCACACATATAGATATAAGGAATATCAGCAATATATCAAATTTCAGGTATATTTATACCACCGATTCCTTTGTTTTGAATAGCATTCATACTTCGGTGTTTAAATATTTACATTTCCTGGTCAATAATTTAAATTACTACAGATTCATATTTAAATTTTCGACTTGTCTGTTTATCGGACAGACAATTTTATTCGTTATATCTACACTTTATTGCACAGCACACATTAAAAGTTTAGCCTACATTTAAAAATTGTTCACCGATCAGACAATTTTATCGGTTTTATCGATCTGTGAGGTTAAAACTGTACACCGCACATTAAAAGGAACAGCACTCTTCTGGTCCGTTGTATGAGACTACACACCAATGCAATACAATTCAGCCATACTTTAGAAACCTACCTTAAAGCAGTAACTCGTCTCCTCTCCGTCCCAAATGGTCCGGGGCAAGGGAAACTTGCGCCGCACGCGATACTTGCCCACGGCCCCCAGGGGGCGCCCCCGCTGTCGTTCAGCCTCTAGGTAATGCGCCCGCAGCCAAAGCTGCTGCAGAAGTGGGTGACTGCAGGAGGAGAAGTGAAAGCTCTCCAGGAGGCTGTAGAGCTCAGTGAAGCGGCCCTGGTGGAAGGCCACAGCCGCACGGGCCTTCAGCACGCTCTCCTGGCCCTGCAGGCTCGACCAGGCCGGGAGCGAGCGCAGGAAGGCCGCCAGGCGCTCCATGCTGCCGCTCTGCAGGAGCACCTCGCAGACGCAGGCCACCTGCTCGGCCGAGAAGCTGCAAGTCATGGCGACGGGGCGGTGGGGTGGGGGGGGTCGGCCTTTGATGGGTCTGCGAGAGTTTGGCGTCCGATCGTTTGATGCAGGTTCTTCCGAGCAGAGAGAAGAGGGAACCGCAGGTATGCAGCCCAGAGGAGGAGAAGCGGCGCTTTTGGGTAACTGGGATCCGCACACTTTGGGGAATATTCCAAATGCAAAAAACAAAAACAGGAAAAAAAAGCTTCAAGCCAGGATTATCCCGCCAGTTGGACAGACACAGTCAGCTTTAAGAGAGAGCTTTTCACAAGTATTGCCTGTTACAAAGTCAGATTGGCACAAAATACCTACACCTCTCAGATTTAGAGAATGAAAAAAAACAGCAATAACAAAAACAAATTTCCCATGAAGTGTCACTACTGCCGTTCTTTCATTTTTTACGCAATAACGAATTGCAACATGCATGAGCGATAAGCTGGAATTCAGGAATTGATCTTTGGGGAAAATCACAAAAAAACGACAAAAAAAAAAGGAGGTAGAGTGTCAAAGCGAGAATAGAACCAACCTCACGCAGGAGACGGGTTCCGTGGTTCCGTTGGATCGGATGCACCCAGTCCGGATGGCTGTCTTGATGAGCACGCCTGTGTTCCTGAGAGTTCAGATGCAAAGGAAATATTCTCCAGGGCTGTGGATCTTCTGCTGGTCCCTCCCATGTGTCACACTTCACAGGTAATATGAGAACATGGGGGTTAAAGCAACACATGTGCAGCAACGCGCAAAAGGCTGACACACTCCCCCCCCCCCCTTGGACACGCACGCACACACACACGCACGCACACGAGGCATAGTTACAGTAACCTCATCTGCTCAAACAGGCGTAGAGACATGCGCCAGTAAAATCAGCGCTTCTCAGTTTCACTCCTGCCCATCTGCAGAAAGGTGTTCAGAGCCTTATGTAAACAAAGCACTGAACATTTAAATCAGAATTCAACCTCATTTCCAAATCAAATTGGAGGGGGTTTAAATGCTTGTTCGCTTATGGAAAAGTGCACACGCTACATCTACAGGACTCACAAGACAAAAATCAACAAGACGATTTCATTTTAAATGTTTATTACAATATCAATTAAATGGTTTATAAAAATAATACCTTTAAGTACAAAAATGTATTAAAAAAAGAGGTGTTCTCCACCTTGAAACCAATTCTGTTTAAATACATCCCTTTACTAAAGCTTTGGTTACAACGGCTGTGTTTGCGGATGTGTGGTGGGGAAGTGGGAGCAGAGGTAATCCAAAGAAACACCAATGAAACCAGAGGATCGGGGAGCACAAGCGCACCAATGACATCGCGTGTAAAAACATGACAGGAAGGTACATTTAACTGTAACAGCTTTCACCATTGGGAGAATGTCCCCCCCAACGCACACGGAGAGACAGACAGACAGTCACATGTATTCCCTTGATCTACAAATAGTGTGCACAGCTTAAACACAATGTTTGTACAGGACATAGCAGACAACCCCCCACACAAAAACACACCAGAACACCAATACAAGTTTAAAAAAAATAATAATAATAAAATACACAATTCACAGAATACAAACCTTTGGTAAAGAATTCCTAAAAAACTTTAAGTCCTATTTAGAATATATATTTATATATGCGTGCATACAAAATAAATGCTTAAAGTTAGTTTAACAGAATAGGTGTACTTTCTATCGAGCGCCTACTTTTAGTCAGAGATCATCCTGAGGGATTGTCGTACTTCCAAAGCGGAGGCCAATTCCGAGGATGCAGTGGAAGAGCTCAGATGCAGTGGAAGAGCTCAGATGCAGTGGAAGAGCTCAGCTGCAGGCACAGTCACACTGGCAGAGCTACAAGAGCGACCAACAGCCAGACAAATGCTCTCCGAGCTGATTTATGTCAGTCGACAGTGTAGCAAAAATAGATCTCTTAGGTTCATCCTTCTGTGCAACTCCCTCCAAATTTTTGTCCCAAATTAAAATCTGACAGCGATATCACAACTGAAACCAAGTACTGGTTGAAGTAGATCATTCATTAGGACTTTAAAAACTCACTTTCTCTGTCCAACTCAATCCAGATCATTTATAATCAACGGCATGATTCAAACTGCACCACAGCCTTTACACCCCACTACTAGAGTATTATGTGACATCATCATGGTGCAGAGATGGTGCACAGACAGACAATAAGGATGAATCCCCTTCAACCTGAAGGCCAGGTAACTGATTCTCTGAAATGCAGAGAACTCATTTTCCATGTCCAGGCCAGTAATTTACAAGTGATTCATTTGAAATGTTTAAAACCACAAAAAAAATAAAAACCACACACTACAAAAACAGCGGAAACTTCCATGCATTCAATCAAAATTTCATACTGATTGGGAGGGAAAGGTTCAGTCAAGTGCAAGAGTTCATGGAAAGTTACTTTCTCAAAGCAACTCAGAAAAGACGTCCCTCACAGAGCTACTGACCCATAAAATGGTTAAAAAATAAATTTAAAAAGACAAAACGGATTTTTTTAACGTATGGACAACTACAAGAGAGAATGTCAGATCAAGTGTACCTCTGAGAATGCAAGATGTTAAGGCAAGCAGAAATCTAGCCAGAATATAATCTGCACAAGAGAACAATGACAGCAGCAGAGATGACACAGAATTAATCACACACCAGCTTCTTGTTCAGGAGGGTCAGTGCAACTGTCCCTTAGTCTCAACACAAATCTCTGCCGAACAGCCAGGAAAAATAATCCCTATAAACGCAAACGGTAACGTTCAACCGAAGCCTTTTATAAGTATATAAAACATACATTTTAGCTCCAAGAACATGATTTAAGTGTAACTTCAACAGAAAGAAAGTGTCCTCCACAACCTGTGAACTGCTACACAATCACTCTACGGTCTTCCAGACGAGCCTTCATGAACTGGAATCTCGGTGCCCTGCCTGTGTAAAATTTGGCAGAAAGACCACCTGTAACAACAATCAATGCTAACTCCACTCTGAGGCACTATCTGTAGAGTGTTTCTGCTCATCAATAAAACAATTATAACATTATTAAATCATGAGATCCTCAGTGATTATTATTACTACAATAGCCTGGATTACAGTGATTAGAGGTACCATTACAGGGGAAAAAATATCCTGCAGAAACCCAGACTGCCAGGGGCGGAGAACATATAATCATTTTCACAAAATTAATGTAAAATTGTACCTCAGCATCAACATTTCGGGTGGCAGCCCCAACAGAATGGAGTCATCTTTTAAGGAATTTCATAAGGGTTATTTCAGGTTTCCAAAGCAGATATCACATATGAATGTTGAAGTCTGAAAACATACCTTTACAGAAACAAAATGCTAATCACTCCCAACTAAAAAATAAAAGACTAAACATTAAAAAAAAAAAAACTGCAACAACCCACAAGCAGAACAGTCAAGACAAAATGATGCATGCTACTTCGGTTTAAATTTTACAAATAAAGTAATTGGAAAGTAATGCTATATTTATTTTTATATATACATACACACACACACACATAAATAAAGATGATTAAAAAAAACTAAATCTGAAGTGTTTGATTGCATAGTGTAACAAAAAAATAGTTTATCAGTTAAAGTGTTCTTGTTTGCCTGACCTTTTTTGACCATGTCAATAAAATTTACAGAATTAAGATCCCAAATGTACCAACATGCAAACCCAGCAGGAGATAGCACAGCCTCTAATGTAAATTTCCGGTGACGTTATCACATTTTAAGTACAACCAGCACCGTGATGCAGTCTAAGACTTCTTGAACTGAAATTTAAACTCATAACCAAATCATGACAGACATGTAAAGCATTAAAAACACACTGCCCATGTTCACCTTGTTAGAGACCAATATGGCAGCTTAAAGAGTCAGTCAACATTTCTAGTCAGTGTGCGAAGGACTAAATGAAGTGGCAATAATGACGTCTAAACCGAGTTATGTGGGGATGCTCTCACAACTGTTAAATATTAGTGTTAACAGAAAGACTTGAGAAATTAAGTCAGTATGTCAGCAAATGTGTCCAATGGCCGATTAAACATTTGGAAAACCAGCTTAGAGTGGCCTTTAGTTTGTAGTGTGGTGCTCCTTGAGGCTGGGGAACTTAAGAGTTAAAAGCACTTGGGCATAGAGGAAGATCGTAAGATAAGTCAGTCTACTTCGTGCTTGTGTGCTTATACTGTCGACACCACTGCATACAAGACATTAAACACCAACTCCCACCTATCTTGTGCGGACAGCCCTAAAAGGCATTGATACATCTCTCTCTGTCATCCTACTGGATCTTATTTCATTATGTAACGCACACAATTCATTCATGCAAATTATGTGTCTAACACTGAATATTTAATCAACTTAATTAGCAGTCAATATGCTTAATATATGTTTTATAACTTTCTTTGCATAATAAAATAAGATCCAAATAGAATACATTTGTATACGTTTGCAAACCTATACATGGACTATCAGCATTAATACAATAATCTGTGTTTTTTTTATTATTATGTAAAATACTTTTACATGTTAATGTCTTGGTTACCGTGGCAATGCTGACAGTGCTTTTCTTTACAAGACCTTTCCGGGGCAGAGATCATCACGCTGGCTCGGCGACCACCAAGAGGCACTGTGTGATGTCATCACTAAAGCATGCTGACGGAGGGCCGGATTTTCCCCACGGATGTTTGCGCTTAGCTGGGAAACTGAGTTCCTGAGGCCCTGTCCAATGGCGATAGCTCCACAGCTAGGGGGCAGCACACGCTCTCCAGCCAATGGTCATCCTCCATCTCAAGCCCCACATGAAAGGGCTCCGTTCTGACCATTATCTGGACACTGCGGGTGCAGAAGTTTGCCATCCAAGATGGCAGATCACGTGGCCAGCAGAAGATCCCTTTAACACGGTGACGGTGAACCTGGGAATGTTTCAGGTCTGGAAGTGTACAGATCCAATGGAGAAGACCCTGGTTACGACACGCTCATTACAAACCTAGATCCTCGTCCACGGGTACGGACTGGAGCTGTGTTAGGATTTTGGGGTCCTGGTCCATGTCCTCTGGGTCATCCAGTTGTGACGTACCTCCCGCCTCCTGCTCAGGAGATGGGGTGTGGAGAAGAAGGCCCTCGCCCCCGGGAAGGGCGAGCAGAGCCGAATCCTCGGGTAGGTCCCCCTTCCCCCGGACGTCAAACAGAGTCAGGCCTGTGGACGCAGAGAGGGACACGGGGCTCCAGGTGGACGGAGGCAGCTCGGAGGTGGTGGGCATGCCGGGGGGCTGCGGGGGGGTGACGCCGCTGGCCGGGCTGTGCGCAGTGACCTCCGGGGCCAAGGCAGCCGAGGAACCCTGGTCTGGGCCGGAGTAGAGCGCAGAGGAGCCAACTAAACTTAGCGGGCCGTCCGGAGACTCGAAGCAGCTGGTGGATGAGGGGGTGGTGGGAGCGAGGGAGATGATGGGCGCAAGTGTGATGCCCCCGTTGGTGGGCGTGAGGCACTCTGGGGCAGCTTTGGCAGGCAGGTTGGCGAGCTGAACGCCAGCAGGTAACGTCAGGATCAGTTTCCCCTGCTGGATGCTCAAGCCGGTCAGGATGGGGTTTCCAGTCATACCACCAGTTAGGAGGAGGTTCCCAGCTGTGGGGGGTGGGGGGTTGAAAGAAAAACATATTTCGCATAAGCACAAGCATCATGCAGAGAAATGAACCGGCATAAATACTTTGATTTTAATATTTGCCCATTTATTTAGCTCGATATTTAGTTCTAGCTGTCACTCACATGCAGAATGAGTCAGGACTCCCAGAAATGCTAGTGGTGTTAATAGTGGAAGATCAATGTAACAATTAAATCGACGGTAAGTGATCTGTGGGTGACTAACCTGGAGGAGTTTTGGGGAGCTGAAATACTCCAGAACTCAGCAGCTGGACCCCAGCAGCACCACTGGCTGGGGCTGACAGGCTCTGCAGCTGCTGGCCAACTCTAAAGGTTCCCTGGGTGATGCCCGCACCTGCGCCAGTGCTGGAGGCGAGGATCTGAATGGTGCCTCCCGGGGAGGAGAGCGAGAGGGAGGGGGCAGTAGGGACCACCTGTGAGAAGGAAAGGGGTCCTGGGGTAACTGCGGCCATGGACGTCACGGGGAGGAGCTGGGGCAACGAAAGGAGCTGGGATGTAGCGGTCAGCCCTGGTTGGGAGATGGGGACGACTTGCGTGGGTGAGGATATGGGGATCACTTGGGCGCCAGGCATCTGGAGGGCCTGTGCGTGGGGGAGTGCGGACGTGGAGGCCACCTGGTCACCCAGCTGGAGGGTCAGACCCGGCTGAGTGGCCGTCAGTGGGATGGTGACGCCACCGTCACCGAGTGCAGGGGAACCGCCCGGCTGCTGGGGCTGCGCGAGACTGGAGCTGATGTGAAATGTCTGAGCTGGGAAACTGGGAATAGAAGCTTGGGGGAGCTGGGAGGAGAGGGGAGATACTGGGACCAGCTGCGGACAGGGGGAGACCTGGGGGCCGGCGTGCTGCACCAGCTGTGACACGGGGATGCCCTGGATCGACGGGACCACCTGGGGCAGGGAGAGCACCTGTGGGGACGAAGAGGCCGACGTGGACGACACCACCTGACAGACCTGACCACTGGAGGTCAGCTGGGAGCCAGTGGTAGCAAGCACCACGATTTCTGCCTGCTGGGTGGAGAGAGGGACCACCTGACTGGAGTGGATTAGGCCTGGTTGGGACACAGTGCTTTGGATGGATTGAACTTCAGGGAGTTTACATTTCTGGGCAAAAACCAGGGGAGGGAGAGAGCTAGGGGAGGACAGGCTGGAAGAGGAGGAGGAAGAGGAGGGGGACAAGGAATTTGGGGATAAGGCTTGAGTGTCTTCTACTTTCAGGCCTTCCTGAATGGGAAGGGAGCTGATGAAGTCTACGGTGGAAGGAGCGGCACCGGCTTCAGCCGCCTTGCCATCGGGAGGCAGTGGGAGGGAGATGGTTGTGCTGGAACTGTTGCTACTGTTGAGTACGATGGTAGGCAGACTGGCCTGCGCTTGCAGCGGGTTAACTGTCGCCTCCTCCAGGCCCAAATCCACACAGGCAGACGGTTTGGAGATAACCTGAGCCCCGTTAAGAAGAAGAGAGGAGTTGGTAGCAACCGAGCTCAGGGTGATGGTGTGGCCGTCTCCCAGTGTCAGCCCATTAATGATGACCCCGCCTCCGGTTCCCGAGAGCAGGGAACTTCCATTGAGGAGCAGTGGATGTGGGGCAGTGATGAAGCTCCCTGTGCCATTGAGAAGTAACTGGCCTCCTGTGCTGCAGGGGGCACTAGAGATTGATATGACTGATGCGGTCTGGCAGCCAGGGTCTTCCTGAGACATGGATGTTACGGCAATGTCGTCAAGACCACACCTACTAGACTCATCCTCTGTGCTGTGATTGCCATCAGACTCACTGAAAGGGAAAAAAAAGGGAAAGTGTGAAGTGTAAACAATCATGTATAAACGATATACTAGGGAGTAAAATACAAATTATTAATAGAAAATATTTTCAAATTTTATACATTCGCATGCAACCAGTGGGAAATGTTATAATATTCTCAGATTAAACAAATGATGTAAATAATTTCTTGGTGATGACAATGCAACTTTATATGCCTTCCGTAAACTTATTTCTGGAGCACCAGGAAAACTGGCGCATGACAGCCAGGATCTCTCCCCCCATCCCTGATATTAACTAACAGCAGTATCCTCCTCACGCCTCCCCTGTCGGCCCGGTCCGCTGGGACACGGTTTCGGGAAACCTGAGCCGAGCAGGGCGCCATCGGGCTCACATTTCACAACAAAGCAGCACGCCTCTCAGCCCGGGACAGCCACCTCACCTCGCCTTATCACTTTCACTACCAGCTCATTCAATCCGCCGGCCATTAAGGCAAAGTTTAGACAAACATCCGCATCGCCGCAAACGGATGTTTTTTCTTTTTAAACGATATAGACCTATAAGAATTGACACATTCAGTGCAATTAAACCCCCCGATGCAGACGGGACCTGATCATATTTATCCATCCTTAATAATTACTGGGAAACTTCATGCGGCTCCCTGCAGGTCAATCATTTGGAGTTGAAGCATTTATATTTTACAGTCATTGAGCGGAACCTTTTTATTTTTCTGGTGCGTTTGATCTTTTATAGTCAACCGCCTAGTGATGGAGCTAAACACTTAACATTGCATGGTCACTAATCTCTGCATAATTTACAGCGGACACAAACACGGATGGATGATTACGGGCACGACCTAAATTTCTGCTCGTAGGTGGAAAAAACGGAACTTTTTAGTTTGCAAAATATTCATAAAAACAAAAAAAATCGGTCGTGCCGGATGCCGTCGTACCTTTTGCTGTTGGTGCCGGACGGGGTCCTGTCTCTCTGCCGGCGGTTCTTGAACCAGTTGCTGACCTGGGTGAGCGAGAGCCCGGTGATCTTGGCCAAGTGCCGCTTCTCGTCCGGAGTCGGGTACCTGTTGCCGGTGTAGCACTCCTTCAGGGCGTTGCGGGACTTCTCCTTGAAACAGTACACCGTCTCCTCTCCGTCCCATATCGTCTTGGGCAGCGGGAACTTCTTCCGCAGCCTGTACTTGTCCACGGCTCCCAGGCTGCGACCCCGGGACCTCTCCGCCTCTTTGTAGCGCGCCCGCAAGTACAGGTCCTGCAGGAACCCATGGTTGCTCGGGTGGAAGTCGCGGCTTTCCAGTATGGCGTACAGCTCTTTGAATTCCTCCCGGTGGAAGGCGACCAGCGCCTGGGCCTTCAGCAGGGTCTCGTTGCCACGTAGCAGGTCGGCCGACGATGGGATGGTGGAGAGGAACCGACCCAGGCGCTCCACATTGCCCGCCTGCAGCAGCGCCTCGCAGACACACGCCACTTGCTCCGTGGAGAAGCCGAGCGCCGAACTCTGGAAAGTTTGCAGCAGCTGCTCCGAAACATCGTCAACCTCCGCCTTCTCTTCTTTCAGCTTCCCGGACTCCGGAGACAACTTCTCCGGGCTGTTCTCTGTTTGTACTCCTTCCTCCAGAGAAAAGGAAGCCATTTTAGTGTAATTTTTTTTCCACCCCAGTTCCTCCTCCCTCCCCTCGCCCTCTATCGCCTCTCTCCCCGCCGACGAGCGTCTCCGGCCGCTCTGCACGTCACGCCCCTTTGGGGACTCCGTGCCACGAACGCTTACTCTGAAACTAAACCATTTACCAAAACAAATTAATCAGCCAGGATTAACTATAATAATAGAGAAGCCAAAAGTCTTAATGAGTCATGGAACTTTAGAGAAAGAACAGCGGATTAGGTGCGAAAATCCCTTCTACTGCAATTTGTTTTTACTGGTCAATGGCGAATCATCTATACACATACACATATATACACACACACACACACACACACACACACACATATATACACACACACACACACACACACACACACACACACACACACGCACACATATATACAGGTGGTATATATATTGTTTTGCTCGCTTCCTGTAAAGTTAAGATAAAAGAAATATGCGGCGGAGCTTCATTGTAGTTAAGTATTTTTTGTTACCAATGACAGTGACTAGTAATTAACAAATATACTATTATACTATTTTCACTGCATAGGGCTCGGAATAACAGTGGGTATGCTATAATACGGAAAGTGACCTAAACCTTATGCTTGTGTTATACAAATAAAGCGCATGTGTTTGGGTAGCTGATTAAAACTTTACAAACATTTCTGAGTATGCATTTATGTGTGTTATAAAGGAAAAGAAAGCAAAACGTCGTTATGAATATGTAAAGCAGAGTTAGCTACATTATTTCGTCTCCCAACCACGTTGTTGACCGGGTTGTGGGAGGGCCTGGAGGCAGGGCTAGACTGGGATTAAAAATGAGCCTTCGACTGCTGTCCATACATGCCCCCCATACATACATACCCACAATGAGTTTTTCCTGAGGGGGTCCCATGACAAATTTTGCCAGCCCACAGCCCCGTCGGCCCACATAAAAATTGCCAGGTATGCCAGATGTGCAGTCTGGCCCTGCCTGGGGGCTATATGTTGGAAAAGGCAGTCTTTCACTCTGAATATCAGTCCATTATGGGACAGAATGCACATAATGGACAATTTAGAAATGGTGATGAGCCTAAATCCACTTGGACCTGGAGTGAATCAGAATCAGAACGTCTTTCATTATCCTGGGGGAGGTTGTTCGTCATTACAGACTGCACTGTACGCAGCCATACAGTGTCCCGCATACACATGTGACTCAGTGGGCTAACCCTCTGTGCCCGTGATCAGAAGGTTGCTGGTTCGAGCCCATTCTCAGCCTTCCTGCAGGTCAGTAAGGCCCGTAACCCCCAGCTCCCTGGGCGCCACAACGGGTGGCTACTCATCTCAGCCAGCTTGCCGTCACCTACAGAGAGCAAGTTGGGGGAGGCATAAAGAGAATTTTTCCATAGGGATCAATAGCATATCACTTACAACAATTTCTGTATAAAAAAAAATGTCAAACATTTTAAGATGGTGATAAATAGGTGGGAGAATATAAGTGCAGTAAAATTGCAATAGAATGATAAATTCACGAGGGGAGAGACACTGAGAGAACAACTGAACTCTACTGAGCTATTGGTATGTACTATGTTTTATGATGCCTAAATATCTAATAGTCTCCTATTATGAGACCACAGACAGTTGTGAATAACTTGCAGTTTTCAATTGTGTTTTCTATCCATCTTCTATAACCGCTTATCCAGCATAGGGTCACAGTGACAGTGTAGCTATTTTGCAGTTTATTTTGCAGCTATTTTGCATCTGCATCCTGAAAGACAGTGTAAGTCTGGAACTCATACAATCACAGCCTCTACTTAATCTATTGTCCTTTGAGGCAATTCACTAGAGGTTGGTCTTTGTAAACCTTTATCATGCAAAACAGATTTGGGATTATTTCCAAAAGGATATTTTTGAAACAATATTTTTCATCTTCTATTTAATATTTAGCCCATGATACTATATAACAACTTCAGTGTCTACAGACTGCACCTGTTGTGTATATGCAGTGTTTATTTGTTTTCTTTCATTATATCAGTATTAGTGCGGATTAAGTATAACAATAAAAATTATAATGTTACGTAATTAAAATGAGATACCCTGGAAGGGAATGTGTCCCTTTCTTGGGCACATAGAGATCTGGATACAGTTGATGGATCTTATCCTCTGACTCTGTTGTTTCTGTCACTGCAGCAGGAAACCAAATGATCCTTCAGCTCTGGCTCCACCATGCAAATGTTCAATGTCCAAAGCAGAATGCAGCTGAATACACACCCACCATGCACGGCAGCACTGGCTGTAGCTGCAGTTCTGAGGCAGTGAAAATACATTTTTTTAGTGTAAACCTTCTTAATTAAGCTTAATAATATCTGAATAAATGCAGAAGACCTCTCTCTGATTTATTATTATGTGGCTGTGAAACACTGTTTCATAGACAGAGATATATAGCATTTGTGTATGAAGCAGAGTACCTGAACACGTGTGCCGGTATGATCTAGAACGTATCAGAGTACCGGTGTAACTGCTAATGTGGATAGCTGCACGTATACACATACAGGCAGAGAGACATTGGGTAATGGGGCAGGACCAGCTGCCCACATCTTAACTAATACACTGGAATGTAAACTTCTCCAGAGAGCACAGACAGTCGTAGACTTGGACTGCAGCTCTCCACACCATCCTGACACTAAGCCCTATCTGTTCAGCCCCGTCAGTCACACCAGTACTTACACGGCACCATTCGGTAGCCATACAATGGTGGGACTTTGACCGTTTTTTTGTGTCCAGACATGCTCACAAAGGCCGGGGTGGAAGATTGTGGGAATGCTAATATAAAACATTAGCAATGACAACAGAATAATTGTGTTCATCATGCAGACCATATATGCACATAGTAATATAGTCTCATTGCAATATACATCATGCACATATAGAACCTATGACTATGAGGATTGGCGCCTCATCCTGGGTTATTCCCTGCCTTGCACCCATAGCTTCCAGAACAGACTACGGACTCTGGCAAGCCTGCATGGAATAAGTAGGTATGAAAAATGGATGGATGAATGGATGGATGGTGGGTGGATGTAATATATAATTTCTAGAAATAAGGCAGATCAAAGAACCAAACAATCTTGTCTTTTCCAAGCCCTCTTTGATGGCCAATCGATTATTTTTCATGCTGATTTCTCATCAGCATTTCAGTCTAGTACCATCAGGATTATATGTAACTGATTTTTAATTGAATATGGTTTTAAGATGTTAATAGCTGGAATGTTTATAAAACAATAGAATAAGTAAATGGAGATGAACAGAAGTTATATATAAAGTAACTGTTATTTTAAATAATTTATATTAGGAGATGGTCAGTAACATGGTGGTTGCCACAAAGTAATTCTGTCAGTAAAGTTAGGCTAATTGATACTTTTAAACTTCACATAATGTATGATTTTGTGTGTGTGCCCTAAGATGCACTATTGTCCCAATCATGGTGTATCCTAGCCTTGTTGCATGAGCAGAATAAGTTGTTAGAAGATTGATTTTTAAGAGGTTATTTTACCATAACTAAATCCTTTCCCCACATTAGGCCGTTTCTTTACCTTCCAAACTCCTTATACATTATTTTAATATCCAGAAGCTTTTATAAATTGCAGAGTATCGCCACCTCGGGGCCATAATGGTGAAGTGCTCTATAACGCTTTCCGAAACGCCTCTGTGATTGGCTGGCTGGATCTGCTTTATGTAATTCCTCTTCCTCTCCCTACACGCATCCCCGCTCCAGAAATACATTTCCGATTGTTTAATCCCATACTACATGTCGCCCTTGTCCGTGATTGGTTTGGTAGCCTAGTTTGTGTGTGGGTGGAATATTTCAGAATTGGGCAGCTGAGGAATTGCCCATTTATTTTATGTTGCCGCGCAAGTTACATGAAACAAAACCAATGTCTTGTCCTTCATATATCAGACGCTGACAGTCACACGTGGACAGAGTTAACTAGCTACATGTATAACATGCGCCTTGTGGCGTATATTTACTATTTCTAAATGACGCCTGTAGAAGATATTATTCACAGTGTTGCCTTATTCGGTTATTCACAGTATTAGAGTCTTTTCTTATTGGGGAAGCATCGTAACGAGGTCGAATTCAGGTTATTGCCGAACGTGGTGGGGACTCCAGGGCTGAGCGCCAGGACGTTATCCGGGCTTAGGGTAGGCGGCAGGGGCGTGGCGCTGGCCGGGATGTGCGGGGTGAACTCCGGGGCCCGGGCAGGCGGGGAGCCGTGGTCTGGAGCGCAGAGGAGCCTACTAAACCTAAAACAATAAAAATTTGGAGAGTATGTCATTAAATATTTTTTTTTAAAATCACTAGTTACCATGCGCGTGATTGTATTTCAATTTCGCAGTAATATTTCTTCGAAAGATAATTCTTTATCGCAGGCTTCTTTTTCTATTTCAATTATACAAGGTGTAGGCTACTGATATTTATGGTCATGAGGTTCTTGTGACGGGTGCTGGCAAATCTGAAGAACATTGCAGGATTCCAGACAGTAGCGGTTATCCTGTGCTAAACTGTTTATTCCGATCCCCTCCATTTCATTAAATACAAATATATGTTTGATATTACAGTAAAAGTTGCCTTAAATTAATGATAAGTATTGGTTTATTTTCATGACGGTGTCATAAATTACAGATCCCAATTTACCGCCTTTACCACGTTGTAAATATCGGTAAGACTTTGAGCACATTACATAGCTTTATTAGAGTTGAGTGTAGATGTTTTGTATTAATTACCATATAATACGTATTTTGGTCTATTTCATTACACATAAGAAAAGCCACACAGAATAATAAGAAAACGAATTAGTTTTTGTTCTAGCGTTTGTGGTTAGGAGGTGATGGTGCTTTTATTTTGAAAGGGTAACTTCGGTGACGTCAAGACACGCTGCAAAATGCCGAATGTACGCGGACTTCTGTGGCTGCCTGTAATGGTAATAATATTAATAATGCAACGTTTGTAGGCACGAAATATAAACGTCTTCATTACTGACGCCTGAAAGCGGCTTCCCATAAAATATGAACGTGTGAATTATTGACGTGTTTCTTTACGTGTGCATTTTTTTACGTCTATAGGCGTGAAACAAGTCGTAAAATATATGGTGTGCGCATGTGCGATGCCAGTGTGCGCGTGCAAATAATGCTCATCGGCGTGGAAATCAAAGGAAAACAATGTACTAAAATGGCTTCCTTTCCTCGGGAGTTAGGAGTGCAGACAACGAACAACGCGGAGATGTTGTCTCCGGAGTCAGCAAAGCTGAAAGAAGAGAAGGCGGAGGTTGACGATGTTTCGGAACTGCCGCTGCAAACTTCACAGAGTTCGGCGCTCGGCTTCTCCCCGGACCAAGTGGAGAGCATCTGCGAGGCGCTAATGGAGGGGGGCAACGTGGACCTCCTGGGTCGGTTCCTCTCCACCATCCCTCCATCGACCGACCTGATCCGTGACAACGACACCCTGCTGAAGGCCCAGGCGCTGGTCGCCTTTCACCGGGAGGAATTCAAAGAGCTGTACGCCATACTAGAGAGCCGCGACTTCCACCCGAGCAACCATGGGTTCCTGCAGGACCTGTACTTGCGGGCGCGCTACAAAGAGGCGGAGAGGTCCCGGGGTCGCAGCCTGGGTGCCCTGGATAAATGCAGGCTCCGGAAGAAGTTCCCACTGCCCAAGACGATATGGGACGGAGAGAAGTCCCGCTACGCCCTGATGGAGTGCTACACCAGCAATAGGTACCTGACTCGGGGGTGAGAGGCGGATTGGATCAAAATGTTCTGCATCTGCATTAACACGTGAAATTTCTACGTCATAAGAAGACAGAAAATACCATGTTAACACGTCCATTTTGAACACCTTAAGGTGTTTAAAATTATGTTACCACTACATCAGTTTCTGAGGGGAACCGCTACATTCAGTCATTAGAAGAGAGAAAACAATTCCTCACTCAGTATAGCTTGTATGAATTGAGGTTAAGAAATAATTTTGATTGGATTGGGCTTAGGAAATACTGATTTACGTTGACATTAGTAACATCTGAATTTTTGTAGGCTACTAGTTTTTGAGAAAAGATGTACAGTATCTAGTGTACTATATTATACTTATTCATTTAGCATGGTGTGTTCGCCTAACTGCCCACTAGATGGGAGCATTAGAGCACAAATGGCAAACTTGTAATTTGAATTGATGGGAACAAGAGAGAATTTTGTGTTCTGCATGCCATTGATTTTGATGTAAGCTGGTTAAGGGCCGTTATTAACGGCTGCGTCTTTAGTGCAGTCGGGGAATTTTTATGTAATGGCGGTGTGACTTATATCTTACATTGTGACTGCAAAACCAATTAAGATTGGTTAGGGTAAGAATATCAGGGCAAAAAAGGTCATCCTCCAATTCAAGAGGCACTGCCACATAAGTTGACAGTCATCTCTGGCATCTCTAGCTTCTGTCCTCAACCTGGGTGGTTTTTAGTTATTGCCAGTGTCTCCTGCTTCACCATGTTCTTGTTTACTGCTGTGTTAGAAATTTTGAGCCTGGAAGCAGTCTGCTGCTCAGCATAGCCTTCTGCCAGCAGACAGGATTAAACCAGGATTTAAAAATGCAGATTATTAAAAAAATATACAGTAGTCTCTTAATTTTCCCAGAATTGTATATCTCATATATGTGTGTGTAAATCGACACATGTATGTGTGTGTTTCTTGTGTGTGTGTGTGTGTGTGTGTGTGTGTGGTAATCTACTACTTCTGGTGTTATATTAAAATTAGCAACTGGAACATTCTGTGAAAATCCTCTATCATGAAAAGCCTCTATCAGACACCATGTGAAAAACTAGCTCCTTTGAACAGTTTTTATATAAAATTTGCTAACTTGGGTGATTTTTCTGCCTATGTGTTATGCATATTCTTCATAATGACTTTGGGTGTTTAGGCGAGATCCGGAGCCTGGGAGGACAGAACCAGCTAGAGAGCGGCTGACCACAATTCGACTGGCTGTTCTTCCAAATGGCAGAGATACAGTATTTTTACCAAGAGGTAAGTTAGGGGATCAGGCTTAGACATGGGCAAAGACGTTACGACTTAACCATCACAAAGACACTTAACTGAGACAAATGCAACAAAGATGAATTTTATAAAAATGAACAATCTAGAGTAGCTTTTGTTTTTAACAGATTAGTGTCACACTGAGTAATAGCCTAATTGTGAGTGCTGTGACATCGTTTCCAAAAAATTAAGCTCTGTTGTTTTCAGTAACTCTGAGTTTTGTAAATTGGTCAAAGTATTGACAAGAGAACCTGTAAACCACTTATAATAATTGTGGCTTTCTCTCTCTTTCCTTCACAGTGGGATCATTAATAAAGAAAATCGTGGTACCACTCTCCATGCCAGAGAGCGCATTTATTAAGAAAATAAGAGCAGAATTCCCTAGCTTACGAGGTGACTTCTGCCTTTGCAGAGTCAACAGACTTAGGAAAATCCAGCAACTGGAGCTCACCTCTGTCTGTCCCGCTGCAATAAAAGCGTGTCCTTTGCTGCGAAGATCAGCGGTATACATCAGACCAATGGTACGTTACTGTCACTTGAATCAACTTGCAGGGGCTCCCTGTTTGAAGCTTTTGTGTGTTAAATGTATGTGTGACTGCTGAAAAAGCAATAAGAAAAAATTAATCACAAAAAAACTTGCAGGACCTCTCAAATATTACACTGGCTATGACATTGTAGCATTTTATCAGTAAATGAAACATGCAATCACATTTAGGGTCAATTGCAGAATCTTATAATTTTTTTGAAACATACCTTGACCTGTATACAGCTGTAAGAGGCATGTATAGTGTGACTAATCTAAGAATATATTGTTTTGTGCTCAATTTAACAGGAAAACAGGGAGGAGGTCGAGAATGAGCATCAAGTGGGTGGTGGGAATGGAATGGAATGGGAAAGCCAAGACACGGAGGAACAAAACAGGTCAGAGGAGGAAGTTTTATTTCTCTACAAATAATATTAGATGTATCCTCATTGTATCCTACTTTTTGTTGCAATCAACAGCTAACCTAGTGTTTGAGTTGAGGAGGAAGTGTTTAAGTCATAGCCTATGTACTCTAGCTAGCTGAGATTTAAAAGATTATATGAAAATGAGTCATTTTAGCTTGCATAGTTACGGTTAGTATGCTAATATTTTGCTACTTCTGGTGTTACATTCAATATTAGCACCTGGATCATTAAGTGAAAAGCCTTCATCAGGTACCAGGTGAAAAACTGGTACCTTCAAACTGTTTATTTCAAATATTATAACATGAGTGATTTTCTGCGTATATGTTATGCATATGTCTCATAAAGATTTTGGGTGTTTAGGCGAGATGAGGAGCACGGCGGGACAGGACCGGCCCGACGGCGGCTGACTGCAATACGACTGGCTGCTCTTCCAAATGGCCAAGATACACTCTTATTACCAAGAGGTAAGTTGGGGGATCAGACTCGGACACGGGCGAAGACGAGATCGCTTTACTTAACCACTGCTTATGGCTCAACCATCACAAAATGCATGAAAGACGAATTTAATAAAAAAACAAACTATAGCTTTAATTTTTAAAGGATCTTTGTCATACTGAGTAGTAGCCTAATTGTAAGTACTATGACATCGTTTCCAAAAAATTAAGCTCTGTTGTTTTCAGTAACTCGGTATGAGTTTTGTAAATTGGCAAGGGAACCTGCAAGGCACTTACAACGTTTGTGGTTTTCTCTTTTCCTTAACAGCGGGATTATCCATAAAGAAAATCGTGGTGCCACTCTCCATGTCAGAGACCGCATTTATTGAGAAAATAAGGGCGGAATTCCCTAGTTTACAAGGTGACTTCCGCCTTTGCAGTGTCAACAGACAAAGGAAAATCCGCCAGTTGGACCTCACCCCTGTCTGTCCCTCGGCTATAAAAGCGTGTCCTTTGCTGCGAAGATCGGCTGTGTACATCAGACCAATGGTATGTTACTGTTATTTGAATCAACTTGCAGGGCCTCCAAAATGACACATAGGCACACAGTGACATTTTTATAAGTAAACGAATCGTGCAATCTCAGATGTAGAGGTCAAAAGCGGAATCTTCTGATTTTCTTAAGTCATGGTTTTAAAATGCCTTGTCCTCTCAGTTGGAAGAGGCACGGATGGTGTGACTAACGGAAGAATGTGTTTTATTGGCAATTTAACAGGAGTTTTGGGAAGAGGGAGTCCAGAGTGTGAACGTAGTGGGGGACAGAGGTGGAATGGAGTGGGAAAAGCACAACATGTTGGAGGAACCAATCGGGCTGAAGGAGGAGGAGGACGAGGAGGAACGAGACTGGTTGAAGGAGGAGGTATGAGATGGGTCTTTGGTTGGTATCCATACAGTAAGACTGTCGGAACATTCTTAGGCAATGTATGACTGATCATAATTTTTTAGACAAGTCATTATTTTGCTTTCAGTCAATTTATCTGTGTCATTATAACGTAGGTCAATGATGTATATTCCTGCCGTACTCACACTAGCCAGGCTGTATCTTGCTCAGGCACGTTTGATCCCCAAATTCCAGTTCATTTGACTTTCGCTCCTATTTTGTGAATGGCTGTATTAAGGATGGATTCATAGAATAACTATCATTCATGCTTTTCAGTTCATTGAAAACACATTCTGTGATTTCAGGACATGTTTACAGGTCAGGCTGACGATAAAGCAGTTGAAAGAGAGAGTGTAGGCTTGCCGGAACGCCATGCCCTACCCAGCCAGCAGGATGAAGAGTATCAACATTCGCCGGTACTAGACCAAGAAATGGTAAGAAAATGCTCGTATGGCCAGCTCACACAAAGCAAAATGTTGTTTTGCAGTAAGGATTCCGTTTTTAGCCAATCGTCTTTGGGTTGTTCTGATTGATCAATTAAGTAGCAGTTAAAATGAAGTTTCATATGACAACAGGAGAGAAGACGAAGGCAGTTTCAGGAGCGTGAGCTGAGAAGAGTAGAGGTAAGTTAGTCATGTATCGCCGTATAAAACTATAAATCCTCTATTGATATTTATCACATAAGAGACATTAAGTAAGGGATAATGTACAGGCAGCCGGTAGTTATCGCAGAAATAAGCCCCGACAGTGTGATCAGGACCCGACGCGAAGCGGAGGGTCTTGTATCACACTGAAGGGGCTTATTTCGCGATAACTACCGGCTGCCTGTACATTATCCCGCTTATTACACGGCTACTTGCCACATAAGGAAAATGACATGGACATGAATATGAATTTGAAACATTTTATTGGCATATTTGTTTTAAAATAACATTTTTATCTTTCCGCGAAACGATATAGTACCACGTGACTATGCGTTATTACTTTGGAGCGGTTATTATTTGAAAATAATGAACCTGCAAATGTCTCAACTGACCAATCAGAATCAAGCATTCCAGAGAGCCGTGTAATAATTTGTTTATAGGTTATAAATACCAGGAAGAAAATGATGAATTCCATACCAGAGCCTGACAATGGGGTAACCGTCCAGTTTAAATATCCTGATGGTACCTTAAAACGGAGACGCTTTCTACCTAGTCAGCCTTTCCAGGTAATTTCTGTACCCCTGCGTCTTATTCTCCTCAGTTTACAGCCACCTACTCTTTTTAAAAGCGATTAATTGATACAAACTTCACTTTGCAGCATATAGTTGCCTTTGCAGGCAGTGAAGAAATGGCTACTGAAATATTTACACTTCAGAATGCTATGTCCCGCACCTCACTGCAAAGCACCCAAAGAGGTTCACTGGCAGACAGTGGCATCACTGCACCGTGTACTCTGTACATTCTGTGGATGTTGGGGGATGCACTGGAGGTGAGTGCCTTTGGGTGTGCATTAGTTGTGCGCTGTTCTGTGGGGGTGTCATTATATTTGCTGTATTAATGTATTAATATGCCCTGCATTTTGACCCAAAACACATAGCCGGAGGAACCACTGGCAATCGAACCTTGGTCCAAAGAGTGTTTTCATTTCGGCTGGGCTTCTTAGGAGAAACAATTTACCATTTCCGTGGGTAGTTAGCTGATTTGACTTCCTCTTAATCGCTTTGGCAGCTCCTTGCCATCAATTGGGATGTGAAGTTGTGGGTGAAATTCTTTGGGCCTTCATGTGGGTTAACGTTGTCTTATCAATTCATTTCAGGATATTAAGTCAAACTCCTCCGCAGCACATGAGCAGACGCGAGCTGCACCACCTACCACAGTCCCTGCCTTCTCCCCTGCTCCCCCTCCACCCGTCACAATCACAACCCTTTCCCCTCCTCCCCCTCCACCAGTCACAGTCCCCACCTTTTCCCCTGATCCCTGTCTGCCAGTCACAGTCCCCTCCTTTTCCCCTCCTCCCCCTCCAGCGGTCACAGTCCCCGCCTTCTCCCCTGCTCCCTCCTCACCGGTCACAGTCCCCGCCTTCTCCCTTGCTCCCTCCTCACCGGTCACAGTCCCCGCCTTCTCCCCTGCTCCCTCCTCACCGGTCACAGTCCCCACCCTTTCCCCTCCTCCCCCTCCACCAGTCACAGTCCCCACCCTTTCCCCTGCTCCCCCTCCAACCCACAGTCCCTCTAATATCTCCTCCACTCCATCAAGCCCAGACCTGCAGAACACTGAAGAGTAGGTACCTACACACATTTTCTGAAGAGACCATGTTTCATTATTTGAGATATATATATATATATATATATGTATATTTGTATTATATCAGTATTACATTATTTGCATCTTATACAGTATAATGTATTAATTATGCTATAATTATGTTGTTCCTACCTATGTAGAAAAAAAGAATTCTAAATACAGTAAATACTTTGCGTCCTGCAGTAGCATGTGTAATGAACTGACATTGATTTAAGAAGTATGTCATATGCACGGTAAAACAGTCAGTTACACAGTTATACAATGCAAGTCTTATTCTGCATGCTTCCTCTGAGCACAGCTGATGCAAATCAAACAAGACACGACACTTACTTTCAGGTCGACGCTATAGAGCACAGAGCGAAGTGCAAACATATATTTAAAAAAAAATAATCTGCATGCTGACATTGCAGAACTTAAAATTGTGTTTGTGCGTATGTCAGTAAAGAAACGTTTCTTCTGCTTTCTTTTCTCTCCCTCCATACAGACCTTTTGACGTTGCTTCTGCACTAAAGACTCTGAAGTCAAGGGTTCACCATCTTGCTCCCACGGCTAACCAGATAAATGTTCTCCGTAATGAAGAGTTTGATTGTGCGTTGAGAGCCTTCAGGCGGCCTGCCTTTGACCCAGAGTCAAAACTGGACATTGTGTTTATTGATGAGGATGGTCTGGGTGATGGGGCCGCAGATGATGGGGGACCTACCAGGGAGTTTTGCAGACTCCTGATGGGACAGATCCAAGAGCACCAAATATTTGAAGGCCCTCAAGAAGCTCGCACCCTGGTCCTTGACAGTGTTGGTATGTTTAAACAAAAGAAACTGATTTGATATTCATTTAAAAAAAAGCTGTGCAAATCAGATTTTTGCAATAATGTTAGAAAAAGATGCTTGTTGAATTTATGCATTTCCAACACCGCTTTATTTTAACGTTACTATGATGTTTTTTTTTTTTAGCCCTTCACAACAACATGTACAGAATTGTGGGCCAAATGTTGGCCGTTTGCCTGATCCAGGGAGGTGTGTCACCTAACTTTTTCTCAAAAAGGCTTTTCAGCCAAGTCTTTGGTCTACCGTCTGCCCCAGCGACCACTGAAGAAGTGGTGGACTGCGGTCTAAAGACTAAACTGGAGAAGGCAAGTTTAGAAATCATTATACACTTTTGACATGTTCTTACCTTTTGCTTAGAAAAACTAGGAGTGTCCATTATTGGTGAAACGGTTACTCAGTGAAGTCCATTTAACTGGGCCTTGCTTCTTCATGGAATTTACTCGTATTATATCAACTATTATCGTATTATAGGTAACTATTATAAAAGCCATAATACCGTTTTGAAATTTCTTTACGGTGGATCTGGTTGCTTCAGTTATATCAGCAGTGCAAGGCCCTGAAAACATCACATACTCATAATCACAGTTAATGGTTTGAGATTTTCATTTAAGTGGCAATTCCTTCTTATAATTAAGCAATAACATACGAGAACGTGTGCAGTTGGACTCTAATGATTTGGTTGTAGGCACGAGGCCGCAGATAATCACAGCCGGGTTGTATTGGAGTATAACTGCATGATTGATTGAGTAGCGTTCATTAGATAACAGTAATAAGCCACAATGGGTAATACTTTGCTTGATTGTTTATATAAACATTTACAGGCCTCCGCAAAAAAAAAATAGTTCCCACCAGGCAACTGTTGACTTTTGCCAAGCAACACAGACATTCTAACTCAACACAGGTCACTCGCTCCAAACTACTTTGCATCATTTAAATTTGACTAAGTAGCACTTTTTAGACGCGGAGTGATACATCTGATGTGAAATGTCCAAGTACAGTAATACTCTGATGGCAGCACTCAGAGCGCCTCTTGTCCAATCAGATTTCTTGGTTGGAAGTAATTGTTGTATAATTTCAGATAAGCAGTGCAGAGACACTTGACGATGCCAGACAGGCTGTTAATGAAGCAGCGGATGAGTTGGATCCGATGGGAGCACGATGGCACCTCCAGTCCTTGGAGCAAAGGGAAGAGTTGATAGAGGCTGCTGTCCAGTTTCACTGTGAGAGACGAATCCAAGCAGCCCTCCAACAGTAAGTTGTCTGTGCTGTATTACAAGCAGAAAAGGTTTGATGACAGCTGCTGCAAACCAAGTTTACATGACCCCTGGTACTCTTCTTACACTTCACCTTCAGTTGATCTTTACACATTTTGAATTATTTCTTCCACTCTGATTAAAACATGTAAGTTCAGCATGATAGGATTAGAGTAATAGTATAGGTACTCTTTTTATTATTTTTTTTGCATCAGATTCAAAGAAGGACTGAGTGCTCTTGGTGTCCTGGAAGAAGTGACGTCACGCCCTCAAGCTTTTGAGAAAATCTTCCTGCAGGATACAACATCCCTGAAGGCCAGTGATATCGTGGGGCTTTTCCAGGCCAGATCTAGATCATTGCCAGGGTCTGATCGGAGACGGCTGGAAGCCAGAGCCATTGCCTTTTGGAAGGATTGGCTCCTGGAGGTAGAAGGTATGGAGCCCTGTGCCAGTTATTCCCAAATGCCTGTATATTCCATGAATTAAATGGGATACGTCTTTTTGATTTTCTTTCATACAGCCTACTACTGGCTTTGATCCACTCGTTTGTTAATCCTCTTGCAGTGTAATTTTTTTTGTCTTTCTATACAGGTGGACTAACCCACCCAATCACTCTTGAGGATGTTCTCATTTTTGCCACAGGCCTGCGGCGAATCCCAGCAATGGGTTTTGTGACGCAGCCAGAACTGGCGTTTTTGCACCCAGAGGATGGACTGGTCAGATTCCCAAAGGCAAACACTTGTTCACTGGTGCTCCAGCTACCTGTGGGACAGGCTTACACTGAATTCAAAAATAACATGGAGCTTGGAATAGGCTCTGGGGAGTGCCGAACGTTACGGTGAACGTTCTAAGGGTTTGGTATTCTGAATACTTTTGTTTTTCTTTATGAAAAAACAGCATGTAGAATAATGCTTTTACAGAAACACTTTTGATGACAAACAATTGTATTTGGTCTGTTCATTTTAATTAAACTTGAAGAGTGATTTTGAGACTGCTTGCTTATTCCAAGGCATGTCGACAGTGTGATGACATCACTTCCAAGATATATATGTCTGAGGATGAATGTGCTGTACTTTAGACCGGAACCTGAGGGCCTGTTTAAAAATGTCTCTTGCTCCATCCAAAGGATTTATATGTTACCTGAGATGTTCCAACCATTCATCATTGGGCTGCTTAATCTATTGTCTGTTGAAGCAGTTCACTAGAGGATGGTCTTTGGAGATCTATAAGGATATTTTTGAAATAATATTTTTCATTTTCTATTTAATATTTAGCCCATGATGCTATATAACAACTTCAGTGTCTACAGACTACACCTGTTGTGTATATGCAGTGTTTATTTGTTTTCTTTCATTATATTCGTGCGGATTAAGTATAACAATAAAAATGATAATGTTACGTAATTAAAATGAGACCCTGGAAGGGAATGTGTCCCTTTCTTGGGCACATAGAGACCTGAATACAGTTGATGGATCTTATCCTCTGACTCTGTTGTTTCTGTCACTGCAGCAGGAAACCAAATGATCCTTCAGCTCAGGCTCCACCATGCAAATGTTCAATGTCCAAAGCAGAATGCAGCTGAATACACACCCACCATGCACGGCAGCACTGGCTGTAGCTGCAGTTCTGAGGCAGTGAAAATAATTTTTTTTAGTGTAAACCTTCTTACTTAAGCTTAATAATATCTGAATAAATGCAGAAGCCCTCTCTCGGATGTATTATTATGTGGCTGTGAAACACTGTTTCATAGACAGAGATATATAGTATTTGTGTATGAAGCAGAGTACCTGAACACGTGTGCCGGTGTGATCTAGAACGTATCAGAGTACCGGTGTAACTGCTGATGTGGATAGCTGCACGTATACACATACAGGCAGAGAGACATTGGGTAATGGGGCAGGACCAGCTGCCCGCATCTTAACTAATACACTGGAATGTAAACTTCTCCAGAGAGCACAGGCAGTCGTGGACTTGGACTGCAGCTCTCCATACCATCCTGACACTAAGCCCTACCTGTTCAGCCCCGTCAGTCACACCAGCACTTACACGGCACCATTCGGTACCCTTTGAATGTCAGAGCTTTAACCTTTTTTTGTGTCTAGACATGCTCACAAACCCTCACATGGAAGATGTCTGTGCAAAACCTGATGATCTGTGCTATCCAGCTATGATCTGAGAAACTTCCAAAGATCATCTTGTGATGTTTCTACATGCTTGGCTTTCTCAGTCTTTAAGTGTCCCCTAAAAGATCACTCGTCTGGATTTTGTCTGGACAACCTGGTTTTCCAGCCCTCCGTCTGGACTGCTGTTGGGTGTCATCCTTTAAGCACCCTTGTCCTCCTTTTTCCCTCCCCCCTACTCTCTCCAACCCCCAATTGCACAAAAAAAATGTGAAACATGCACAGACATACTATGGAAGCTGACAATGGCCATGCTTGAAGTAATTTTTATACACCGTTCTCTCTAAATAACAAGATAAGTATCATGATAGATATACCATTCTCCGCTTCTGTAGTAGGTATATGATATGCCCCCCCGGAGCCCCCAACTCACTGGCTAGCACTGCTGCCTCACACCTTCTGGGCTGGTGTCCCAATCCTATCTTTGGAATGTGTGTATGAGTGTGTGAATGTGTTTATGCATGTCCTCCCTGTTTCACAGGACCTTCCCCAGGGTAATCCAAGTCTGTTGACAGACCAAAACATGCAGTTAGGCTAATTGAAGCCTCTAAATTGCACAGTGTGTGTGTTTTTTTTTCTGTGTGCCCTAAGATGAACTGCCATCCCATCCAGGGTGCACCGTCGCACGGGATGGGCTCCTGCTACCCTGATCAGAATTACTGGTTATAAGACGGATTTTTAAGGGGTAATTTTGCCTAATGAAATCATTTTCCAAACTCCTTAAACAAGTATTTTAATAGCCTGAAGCTTTCATAAATTGTAGAATATCCCCACCCTGTGGCCGTAATGGAGAACTGCTCTACAATGCTTTCCAAAACACCTCTGTGATTGGCTGGCTATAAGTGTGTTACGTAATTCCTCTTCCTTTCTTATTCCGTGTACGCCTTCCCACTCACAAAAGTACATTTCCGATTGGTTAATCCCGTACCTCGTCTTGTCACCCTTGTCTGTGATTGGTCTGGTCGCTCAGACTGTGGGTGGGTGGAATGTTCCAGAATTGGGCGGCTGAGGAATCGCCTCTTGGTTGTGTGTTGCCTTGCAGTTACACGAAACAAAATCGACCGACCGTCTCGCTTAAGTCTAAAGCAGAAGTAGTCGCACGTGGAATGGCTATATCCGCATAGCATGCGCCTAGTAGCATATAGTAGCAATTTCTAACCGACGTCTGTAAAGAGTATTTTTTCGCAGTGGTCAACTCATTGCTTGTTCGGAAGACAGTGAAAGAGTAGATAATATACGGAAAATGGACGGCGGCGTAACAGTAATCACCAACCCCACTGTATCGGTGCGGCTCACTAGCACACTTAATTCGTTCGAGGTAAATCGACGATTCAACAGAGGCATGACTATCGCTGAGTTCAAGGTAAGTGCATTTCAGGACACTGCAATTGAGGCAGATTACTCACTTGACCTGTATTGCAAGGAATATGTGAACATGAGCGTAAATGGCATCAGTAGTATTAAAGTTAGCTGACGCACTTTGTATTAGGCTTGCACTAGTTGTCTAAATTATTGCTTAAAATAATTGCGTATTAGCTTGCGTCTTTGTAAAGACTTATGAACTGCATCGTTCTGTTTTGTCGCTCATTCATTTATTATTATTTTAGCTATAGGGTTTTCGGGTATCCTGGAAAACATTAGATATAGTTTCTTGATTAAACGTAATGTTTGAATCGACTAAGAGCCATATTTTATTGACCCTTTACCGTAGCTGTCATTGTTTTCTCCATTCAGCGGTCATGCATGCAAAAGGTACATTGGGTGGGGCAGAGCTGCCCCGCCCCCATGCCAAGATCTGTGTGACAATTTAGTATGCGCGTGTCTGTACCTTATGCCTTATGCTGATGAATATTTATTTAAAAATGTACAAACGTCGATAAATACAATTTTTATTGATTTTTGTGTATTTCAGAGCAAATTAGAACTGGTGACTGGTACCCCAGCTTCTTGCATGGACCTCCAGCTGTTCAGTGTCTCGGACAAGTTCTTGCAGAAGCTGGATGACAACGAGGCCCTGTTAGGCTCTTACGCTGTGGATGATGACTGCAGGATCCATGTACGTAGCCTTCTGATTGGCCATAGGTTGTGGCTTCCACAGAGGAAATCTTGTATTTACTTATAACTGAGTCTGTTTCTTTTATTTTCCTACACGCTTTGTTTTCGTGCCCCTTATAACGAACCTCGAGTAGTCATGGGATCAAAAAATACAGAAATACTGAATGCATAAAGTTGTGATCCTCAGCTGATTGCATCCTTTATGTCATGACATTTGAAGAGGGTGTGGCAGTTTTCAATGTTTGGCTCTCCCAAATAGCAGAAAAATGACATTGCTGAACATTTCTGAGGAATAATTTGGGGGTGGCTACAGCAAATGCTGGTTTTTGTGAGTTACAAAGTGTTGACTGAACAGTTGCCTTAACAGATTCCATTTCATTGTGTGTGCAGGTGATTGACCGGAGTGGTGCCCAGACTGGCGAGTTCACTGACTTGTCAAAGGTGGAGAAGTATGAAATGGCTGAAGATGCCTATGATAAAAGAACAGGTATACGGGTTATAGCCTGACTACGCGCTCGTTTGGTGTGCACATCTGGAAAATATTTACAGCTGGAAGAAATAGACTTCAAAAGATGACTGATTTGGTCATTTCCCCTTCATGTCACTAACTTTGTTTATACTAACAATAGTGGCAAATTGTATCGAAGGGTTCAAGTTGCTTCATACTTTCCGTGTAGCTCTGCTTGTTTCCTGGCAAATTTTATAACATTTTCTACAGTTGCTGAAAAACACAAAGCATCTTACAGTGCTGTTGACAGTGTTATATTTACTGAGATAAAAGAATAGGATTAGTCTACTTAAATGCATTTTTAAATGCCTCCATGGACAGACATAATTTTCAGTTTAATTCCTTCTTGGACTTTGCACTTGTTATCATTGTGGTGAGTGACTTGGGTAATGCAACCAGCAACTAGCGAGATTTAGGAGACTGACTGCAATACCGCTTCTGCCGCCACAAAGCACTGATACGATAGTTTCATGTATAGCAACCGTAATTAAATCCATTTCCAAAGAATTACAGCAGTAATTGTGAAGTGGGTGGTTGTGACTGAGGATTATTGCTTCTCTCAGACTCGGCACGTTCCTTCTTGAAGAAGAAAAAGGTGGGGCGTTTCAATGAAGAGGAGTCGTCGCGACGGGAGGCGGAGCAGGCGAAGCGCGAGGAGGAGGAGAAAACCGCTTCGGCTGCTATCGCCGTCGGCAGCCGCTGCCAGGTGCATGTTGCTGGGCAACCAACCAAGATCGGCACTGTGATGTTTGTCGGTGAGTATGATTAGATTAGCCACTCATGGTCTGCTATGACATAACTTACAATGTCCTTGTCTATTTACACTTCGCATGGGTATATATCGAGTGTTTAGGTCAACAGGATGTCTTTTTTTTTTTTTTATTGCAGGGACTGCAGAGTTCAAGCCAGGTTACTGGGTGGGCGTGAAGTACGATGAGCCACTAGGCAAGAATGATGGCAGGTGAGGAGAATTACAGTCCCCGCATAGCCTTTGGTAATCACACTTCTTCTGAGCATAAGTCTGATACTCTGAAGCTTGGTGTCCTTTTACAGTGTCAGTGGGAAACGCTATTTTGAATGTCAGGCCAAATATGGGGCCTTCGTGAAGCCGACGGCGGTGACAGTGGGAGATTTTCCTGAAGAAGACTATGGTCTGGATGAGATGTAAGACTGGTCAAGCCAAGCATCAGAAAGAACGGACACAACGGGAACCTGCCTGAGGGGCCTGGTTTGACCGGAAGCCGCTTCCAGCTGATGTTTTTTGTCGTTACCATTGTCTTTGTTTTGTTTAAGATAGTAGTGGAGATCTTGGTTCTGTCTTCTGAAATCTAACATGCTTCTGTCAACTGTAGTCTGCGCAGAAGGCAACAGTCATAACTCCATCATTTTATAATGACAGTCACAGTTCTAATCAAAGATTAGATGTAAACATTGATGTGTGTAGTCCACCGGTTATGTGGTTTGGCTTTATTCAGTATTAACGTCTAGATGACGGGAGGATATTGGCTTGATAAGAAAGTGGAGCTACAGCAGGTGGATGCCCAAACCACATTTTTTTTTATCAGCAGTACCGATCTAGTCAGCGTTTTGTGAAAACTTCTTGCTCAGCATGTTTCAGACCTTATCTTTTGGCTGATCAGCTGTTTTTGTTCTCAACATAACCATTTTTTGCTGCATAATAGTCGAATAATTAATTGAATTTGGGTGGTTCTGTGTCACTTGTCACGGGGAATGAAGAAACGGTTTTTGGCCATAATTATTTTTGTATTTGAATCAGTTGTCGGATTAAAGCTTTGAATACACTACTATGGCTTACATGGTATCATTTTAGACCAGGAACATGTAATTGGTCATTTACAGGAGGGTTGCAAGTTTTATCTTTGATTTTCATCAGAGCCTTAAACTAGCTTAATCCTTCAATGAGTGCAATGTCTGTGCTTCTCTTTCATAGATTGGGCACTGGTGTTATTTTGTAGACATTTCTCATGGTCCATCACCATAAGACAGTTAACTTTTTGATAGCAGTGTATATACCAATCTAAGATACCCTTTGATATTTACACATCTGCCTGAATTGTATTCCAAATGCACACCAGTGATAGTTAAGCATTGCACTTTTGGAGTTTTTAAATGTATTTTGTAACCAAGTTTTAACTCTTCAGTCATTCAAATACAATTTGTTTAGTTGTTGATTTTTTTCTTTTTTTTTTGAACATCACAAAATAAACTTTCAGTCTGATATCTGGTAAGTCCTTGAAAACTGAAGAGCCCCTTTACCACAGCAGGGTGCGCAGTCCCTCACAGCCTTTACCACAGCAGGGTGCGCAGTCCCTCACAGCCTTTACCACAGCAGGGTGTGCAGTCCCTCACAGGTGCTGCCGGTTGATGAGTTGATGTTGTGCACACATTTTTCTGGCAACAACAAACCCCTCATCACACAGTGACTTGAAAGGGGGTCAGACAAAGAACCATGGAGACCTAGACTTTAGAATAATCAAACCACCGTTGCATGTTTCCAAAATGCATTATTGAATATTGAATTAGACCCCGACCGGTTCTTATTTATGTGATCACGAATTATTAGTGGTAGGAAATCTCAAGCAGTGTGATTTACGCCAAATTTCCACAATAAGCAGTTGACCTGACCTTGACTACTGGGAGGTTGTTGGTTAAAGGTCTAGGAACTTAAATAGCTTCGGTAAAATTACATTTATTTGAAGAAAAAATAGAATTTAACGGGTATGCACGTGTGCGAGATGTTTAAATGTGATTAGCACAGTCCAATGTATATTAATTGAAACTCTGTATAATTTTGTTAAAGCGTAATATTAATTAGAAAATATTAAAATATAATTATATATATTCTGTATCTTCTGTATCATACGGCTTCATGCCCGCATTTGGCGAGTTCCTTTTGGAACTTTAATTTTGAAGAACTCGGAGTGTGCACACCGGAAATGTGTCACTGTTGACGGAAGCCATGGCGAACAGAAAGGTCAAGTTTGCATTCTTCCGGTGTGGAGCTTGCTGGCTTGGTCATTGTGAACTGAAATGACTCTTTGTTTTTTAAAAGTAGATTTATAACTTGTACTTCTACAGAATTATATCCGGATAGTACTACGCACTGTACACACAAGGTAAAGAAATTGCAGGAGATTTAGATAACGGTCCATAAGACGTCCACATGGTTTTCCATTAGCTTATAAAACCTAAAACCATTGGGAGGGACATCTTTACAAAGCAGAATAAATTCTGAAATTCTTAATTTTTATTTTGCGCCACAGTCCCAGTGATCGATTAGTATCCCGACCACATTGTGCTCCGCTTTATGTCGTATGTTTACGGTAATTAATTAAGGTCATGTTGGCACTATTGCAAGGATTCCATATTGCAGTACCTCTAGAATCTTCCAGTCAGTATAGTATTGGTGATTGTCACTAAATCGTGTTGGACGCACAATATGCAGGGCAGAGCTTTCATTTTAGCTGGGTAGTTCGTTGCTGGTCATGTTTTGGTAGACGGTGTTTAGTCAGCACGTGTAAACTGTACACCTGCATGGTGAGTCATCACCCGTACTTTTTCAGACAGCACTGACCCAGCGTTGCTGGTGACAGAAACAGTCATGTTCTATATGAGAGTGAGAAAGTATTATTATCGTGATAATAACATTATAAAACAATCAATGTCTTTATACTTTAAAATCAGTTAAATAATATTAATATCTATTATTGAAATACCAGAAGTGCACTTCGTTACACCTCTATGCATTGGCTTTATGTTAATTGATATCCCAGACATATGCCCCAGCTGCTTCAGATCTACCTCTTCATTGCTCTCCTAAACTTGTGTTTTAAGTCATATTCTCATCTTCTTTTTCTTCTGCTCACCACTGCGTTTCCCCCCTCCTTCCACAGCCATGGTGCGTTACAGTAAGTTGCAGAAACAAGTGCTCACACTGTACCGTCAGTTACTGCGGGCTGGACAGAACAAGCCTGGCTTCCTGCCCCGCATCCGGACAGAGTTCCGGAAAAATGCGGCCATCCCAAAGAACAATGTTATGCACATCGAGTACCTGTATCGACGCGGCCAGCGGCAACTTGAGCTGATGAAAGATGCTAACACCAAGCAGCTCGGTGCTTTTTCCAGGACCTGCGAAGATGACCGGCTGTTACCGGATCCTTAGGTCAACTTTATCACGATAAATGTGTCTGTTATGGGACTTGAGAAGCTATAGACAGACAGAAAGCACCACAACAAAGACAACTGCTTGGATTTAGTATGTGCCCAGATAAGAAACCTATGACTAATGAAAATGTTACCTATTTCATAGGTACAGTAATGGCTGGAAGTTCAAGACTCAAATCAGATCTGTATAAAATTTACTAGTATTTTAAATACTTAAAAGTTACGGAAATTTAATAAATTGTTTATATATCAACAGTTTCTTTTTAAATCACTAACTTTGTATTGGAATGTGGGGAAAATCCTCGACTAAGAAGTATCATTTGAGCCAAGTCTATCGCAAAGAATATTCAAGATGGGTAAAAGAAAGGTACAGTACATATGAATGTTGCAGTGATGTAAGGTCATATTTATAAACATCACAAACCACTTGATTTAACCATTAAATACATCAGAGTGCAGTACAAAGTGATGACAAGGAAGGTATGTAATTTCGTTGCTACTGAATAAACATGTGGTTGGAGAAGTGCTGGGTCCCGGCGTACGCGGCATCCCTCACCAACATGGCGGATTTCTTGCAACACAAGTCCGCACGCTGACGTCAGAGCAGACAGGTGAAAGATTGTCAGTCACGCGAGCCTATGACCGCGATCTAGCAGTGCGATTCAAGCCAGCAACCAAGATGGCGGCACAGGAGAGTGGAGCAACTCAGCAACCAAACGTGAGCAATGGCGAGGTAAAAATGAATTAAATGTTAAGACGGAAGCCCTTGTCCTCATAGGGGGGAAACGATGTGTTACCCTTTTTTCAGTAAGAGCCGTGACACACATATTCGATTTTGTAGTCTACCGTTACCTCTGATTGTCATGTTTCCTCTTCAATCAGTGCCGGTCTGACTTGAAAATGACCTCTTGGCTTTGAACGATTTGATATAATACGTACCCGCTGTTTGCCTTCTAATTATATGTGTGAAATATGTAACACTCCTTTAGTCTAAGACAGATCAATTAGTCTATTGGATTAGTCTAGCAGGCAAGCTAGACCGCTAACTAGCCTGCTTGCTATCTGGCTAGCAAGCTAGGCGCTGTCTACTTTTAAATCCGTCTTATTTTATTTATAATACAGAGTCGTTCAACATATCAGTCAATATGAGTGAGACAATGAAATGGATATAGTGACCGTAAGATGAACAAACGTTTAAAGTATTACATTCGTCATTTGGCTATGGAGTCGAGTCAGTGTAAAAAATGGTGACGGTGTCTAGGCGGCATGATAACTGGCCATCGCTGGTTACCTAGCTGATCACAAACCTACCGATTTTCCCAGTTGAACAGGCAGACCCACAACCGTTTGATTCTGTAGCTAGTTACCTGTGACATGTGAATTAACTTCTGATGTTGGCGTATAAGAAACTAGGTGTGTGCGTAGGTTAGACACGCTGCAATTATCTCCACACTTGATATTGTCCTTAGCTACCTGAAGTAGTTCGCTCGAATATGAATCGGTATCTGGGCAACTAGACGTCGTCTCCTTTTGCTTGGCGACGAATCTGACCCAGGAACTGCTTGTCAAATAAAAATACAAGAATAATAGCTCACATTTCGTATCGTTATAGTTAATTATCTGCTTTCGCGGACGCGACGTAAAACCGAGACCGGCTGTTGTGTTCTCGGCGGCAGTGTCTTAGGCCGTAGGTCTGTAATACTCCAGTGAAGTTTAAAAAGACACTCTTTATGGTGTAAAGGGAAAAAAGAGCCCCAGTCACGGGCGACATCACTGCGAAGGCACATTAATTAGAACATGTAACACCGGAGGGGTGTCGGTCGGAAGCGCCGCTACGCGCTTTAGCTTCTCCTACTAGTTGCGTTTGAGGCGGACGCGCTGAACCCGACCATAACCAAACGGTGGCTGTTGTGTGAAAACCCGAATAAAGCGACTCGGCCGTTTTTTTTTTTGTGGCCCACAGTCGGTTTTGTCTCTCACGCAAAATCCCCGTAGAGTTTGCGACTATTAAGTATGACGACCAAAAGTTTTCGTTATAGGTCACATGTGTCACGAGGAAACCAGACAGACCGGTGTTGTCGCCACCATGGTTTGCCTGGCATCACTAGTCGTGATAAATTCGTGAGCATTAATTGACAGTTTTTCGTCGGTGTATGGAATTATCCCTTATTGTGCAATGGTCGGTAACACATACTAATCTTTACTTAATACTCCTCGACTTATCGTTATTCCTGGTAGAGTAAGTACAGGCGTTAATAAAGGCTGTGACTAAACCTAAGGCTCAGTCCAAGTTTGAATTTCGTACTTTCTAAATCAAGTGTTTTGCTTGATGATTTAATTTTATTGACCATTGGTTTTGTTTAGTCATTTGTTGAAAGTTAGAGCCCTAACATCCACAACCCTGCATCCATCCCCTTCATTCGTTTTAAAACCAAATCTTATTCTTGTTCACCGATGACATTTTCGGTTGGGGTGCCGTGTGTGTGTTGCAGCTGCGGCATTGAATATTCATGACAACATGAAAGAATTAAGCCCGAAACAACCCTGTTACTCATTACAGTGTTGGTTTTTAAAAAATACTATTTGGGTTAAATTAATGAAATGAAAAGGACTGGGGTTGTTTTGGGTAATGTGGAAATGTTGCACTACTGTAGATTGTAAGGCTTGTGTAAATCCCATTTCTCCCTTGCCTCCATAGTACTTGTGTAGGGTAAATATATCCCGTGCCTGAGGGAATGGTGCATTAGTGGTGCTTGGTCCTGCTTCAGTAGCAGCATAACCGTTTACACCTCACTCTGCTAGATTGAGGACACCAATTTGCCTAGAGATTCAGGAAAAGGTTTGGTCAGACTCCTCTTGTACAAGTTTCTACTGTTTATTAACATGGATTAGGCATTTGTTCCATGCCCTGTAACCCCCAACACACCCACAGTGTTTTGATGTCTTGGGTTGTTTTTTTGTATTTAAACAAACCCCACTGAAGGTATGGGCATCAGGTTAAACATTACCCCAACAGATTTAATTAAAAATCTTGCTATCAAATGCTCGGTAGGTAGCATATTTCCATTGGGAAAGTTGGCACTTAGGCATGGATCTGCATAATTACCACCTCAGGTGATTTTTTTTTTTTTTTTTTTTTTTTAGGAAACCGATATCACAGTCTTGATGCTACTTAAGTTACACCTCCTAAAAATGAGCATTTAAGCTTTTTGCTTATCATGGACTCACATTTGCAAACTTTTCTTACTTTAATGGAAATTTGTGTTTTGCACAAGTGAACGAACTGAACATAGGTTAAGACATGTATAATTTTGCCCTGATTTATGTCTGTCCATGCTCTGGGTTTTTCCTTTTACGGGTGATGAAACCCTTAACTCGATCATTTAAAATTTTGGAACGGTCACTTTGGAAGTTGAAGATACTGACTTTCATCTCGATACTGAGTTTCGTCTCAGTACTGGTGAAGTCTAAGTGGGATAATTTGAAACTCATTGTGAGTGATAATCTGCTTTTTCGTTTTGGCAGCGGAAATGGAAGTAGTACTATTTTTGAGTATTTTTTTTTCTCATCACGTATCTGGTTGTGTTTGTTTAAATCAGACACGGATTGTTAGACTGTGTGTGAACAGTCGTTGACCCGTTGCCTGTCCACATTTGACTGCACAGGTGAGCAGTAATGGGTCTGCAGGTGGAGACCAGGCTGTCCAGGCTGCTGGGACTGCACAGGATGCTCAGCCACAGCAGCAGCAGCAACAGCAACCACCTCCCAATGCCTGGCAGGTCATCAAGGGAGTCCTCTTCAGGTGGGTCCGCCACATACGCTCAGGTCAGGACAGTGAGTTCCCCTTCGACCCGCAGCTTTGTGGCTTTCGGGCTACAAGGAAACAGGTTTGGGAAGATGCATCAGAAGAATGTGCACCTATGAGTTATATACTGGAACAAAATGGAGGCGACCATTGAAAAGTCGCATCCTTCAGGAAAAAAGGATGTGCTTAAATGTTTTAAAATAAATCGCAAGAGTGTAACTGGAATATTGATCCACTTGTCACTTGCTTGCTAGGTAAGTTTAAGTCCAGTTGGTATTTCTTCTCCTTGTGACTTGTTTTTGGAAGTGGATTATGTTCCTATGAGGTTATTTTTGGGAATTTATCCTTTCATCCTTTTGTACTATATGTAAGTTCTCTACCGTGGTATTCTATGCACTGAAAGTCGTGTTATGGTATGTTATGAAAGCAGGTTACTTCTTGTTTAAATATTTTCACAGTGATATGAGTCGTATGTGTAATTTATATATCGGAACCTATAAACATAATTTGTTTTAATTGATTTGTATTAAGTTGTTTTTTCATTCTCTAATTTTTTTGGAGGGCTAGAATTGCTGGAAATGAGATTTTGGTTAAGCAAGCTAAAGTTTTGAACGGCTTTGTTTCAAATTGGCCCTCCTGAGAGACTATTGACATATTTAGGACTCTGCTGTACTCCCATGTGTGGATACGAGGAGAGTGTTTGGAAGACTCTTCTGGTCAAGTTAATTAGTTTCTGAGGGCTGAATCTCTCACCATGCAGGTGTGTCTGTCTGTCTGTGTGTCTGTGTTATTGTTGCCATACACTCCCTGGGGGAAGATGTAGGATTACACGACTTGCTTGGCACGTTCTTGTTTTCTATTGTTGAGCCGTATTAGGACATGCTGCAGTGCTTCAATTGGTCCCATTGTTATTCTCATGCCAGACCAAGGCAATGCTGTGTTCTAACCTGGTTCATACCAGGATCTGTATGGCCATGAACTGGCCACTTTTCCCACGCTTGTCCAATTGGGAGTGGCCTAATAACTCCATCATAGGTCACCCTGTCAACTTACGATACCTACACCTCCTTGGGGAGGCTTAAGGAGCACCCCCAACAAGTGTATTGTCACACATCCACCTCATTTCGCTTGACATGTGGTGGGTTTTATCAAGCAAAGCAGTGCATTTGTTGAGAGCCCTCTGCTCAAATTCAATCCACAGTTATTTAGGAGGAGCAAAGCTCTCAAACTCATTGTGTGAGCATGACCCAGTTTGTCTTCTCGGCCTCCAAAATGGCAACAGTTAGTGCTGGTTCAGGTGTATAATACCCTGGTCTCCACTGTTGGATGCATCATGCACATGCCACTGGGGAAACTTGCAGCTTTTAACTAGGTCATTCTGACTTTGCATGCTGTACTGTCATGCAGTGGGTGAGACTCACTGCATTTGCAGTTTATATATTTTATTGTGTACTTTATTATGTTATAAAGGCAAAGCTGGTCTACCTTTCAGTTGAGATTTCTGCAGCTTTTTCAATTTCAGATTGCTTATAGCTCTTAACTTTTGTATTCTTATTTTGCTGACTATAATTTGCAAAATAAGGATACAGATTAAATTCCTTTGGGTTGTACATGGCAAGGGGGCACGGCACTACTTGGGCTGCTTATAATTTAACCAGTGCTTCTAAATTTAGTGAGCATTCATACACTTAATGTATTACAGTTTTTATTTGCCCGTTAGTGCCACAATACCATCACTTTACGATACCAATTACTTTTTTTTTTTTTTTTTTTTACCTTTTCTAAAATAATACACCTCCCCAATGCTGCAGTCTGGGTTGCTTATTGTAATTGAAATCCTGCTTAGCTCGTTCTTTGTTTGTCTCATTCTTGATTAGATGGATGGTGGGAAAAAGGATATTTCAGACAGCTTGAGTGGGAAGTTCATTATAAGAAAGCAAGTCATTTTGTTCATGTCTATTTTTCTGGTGGTTAATGTTAACAGCAGCTATGAATGCCGAGGGTTGATTTATTTATTTTTTAAAAACAATTTATCTGGTTGAGTGCCTCTTAATGAAAGAAGCCTGAAACAAATGCACATCCCACTCTCAGCTCAGTCTGGAAAGTGGCCGCGTGCTGATGTTTCCCCGCACAAACCTGTCACTCTATTGATCCCCATAGGATCTTCATTATCTGGGCCATCAGCAGCTGGTTCCGTCGGGGCCCGTCCACGCCAGACCAGAGTACCCCAGCCGGAGCCCCGCGAGTCCCCAGCCGCAACCTGTTCCCCAAGGACACGCTCATGGTATGCAGACCCAGTCTGGCAGGCAGCATGGGTGCCCCTCATTACAGCACGATCGTGGCTCATGCAACATGCCATGTCCTGTAAGGCCCATGATACAGAAGTGAAAATGGCCACAACACTTGAAGGGCTGATCTGGAGGTCGTGGGGGTACCTGCATAACTTGTGGATGAAGATATGGATTACGTTTTGTGGATGAACCAGTATGCAATTAGTTCTCAAAAACTGCCAACAGAAGCAGCTATGGGGGTTGGGGATTACGGTCTCATTAAGTGTCTCCTCTCTCCTTACTCTGTCCAGGACTTGCATGTATACGTCTCCCAGAACGAGATATTCTCAGACTTCAACAATAGTGATGCTCTTTTCTGGAGTCAGCGAGACCTGGTGTACGGAGACTGGACCACGGGGGAAGCTGGGGATGGTTGTTATGAGCACTATGGGGAAATGGACATTCCCGAGGTGAGTTTGGGTTTGGAGTAAGCAGCTTTGGGTATTGAGGGAGACTCTCAGTCCTCGCTTTCCAGCCAGTCTGTTTATAGCTCTGTACTTCCATATATCTATATATTTCTAATGTTTTTCTATATATTTCTAGTCTATATTTCCTAATGCTTATTCCTCTCCTTGGCATTCAGACGGTGAAGCAGAATGGTTCCCTGTACATTCATGTCTACTTCACCAAGAGTGGGTTCCACCCAGATCCGAAACGCAAGGGCCAGTACCGACGCCTGGCCACAGTTCATAGTTCTCGAAGTAAGAGCTCATATCCGAGACGCCTTTGCAAGGCGTACGAACACTATAAACAGACCGCAGAGATACACCACCTTGTATATCGTACCTATGAAGTTACCCTCGTTAATTAATGTTAGAGCTATGGACATAGCTAGCTTAACGGTACGTAATTCTGCTTTGGTGCGAGAGTTTTCCAGTGAAGATTTCTTTAACCCTCCCCCAGTGCTGAACAAGTTCAAACGCAGAAAGTTCCAGAAGACAAAGAACCTTCTCACTGGAGAGACAGAGGCTGACCCTGAGATGATCAAGGTCTGCATATCATTAAGCTTCTAAGTAGATAAATAATTGTATTGTGTGGTTGAAACACTGAAGTTCCAGTGTTTTATCTGGGCTTGTCTTCTCAGCGTGCAGAAAGCCATGGTCCAGTGGAAGTGATCTCCCATTGGCACCCGAACCTCACTATCAACATGGTGGATGACCACACCGCTTGGGTGAAGGGCTCTGTGCCCCCACCTCTGGATCAGCGTAAGGCTCACCCCCCCCATTTCCACGTCATCGCACACACTGTAGCTGAACTACGCACTTCCCGGCCAAAGATCTTCGCTTTGTTGCTGTTGAAGCTGCATACTTTGGGTTTACCTGACTCTGTGGTGTTTCCTTAGACTAGCAAAGGTAAATTTGGATCAGCATTATTTACGGACTGTCTGTGATATTAGAAATTTAAAGCATATTTTATACACCACACCTCTCAGTCCCAGTCTGTAATTTGTCAACCATAATGTGGAATACAAGGTGGATATTGATGATTAATCTTACTATGGACACGCTCAAACATTGTAAATATAGTATTTGACGACAGGATGACTCCTCCCTCCCTCCCTATCCAGATGTGAAGTTTGATGCAGTCAGTGGGGACTATTACCCTATCGTGTACTTCAACGACTACTGGAACCTGCAGAAGGACTATTTTCCCGTCAATGAGACGCTGCAGAAGCTGCCGCTGCGTCTGTCCTTTTGCCCCCTATCGCTGTGGCGCTGGCAGCTCTATGCTGCCCAGAGCACCAAGTCCCCCTGGAACTTCCTGGGAGACGATACCTACGAGCAGTCCGACGAGGACCAGGACTCTGTCAAGGTCAGAGCCTTGGGGCCTTGGAATTAGCTTAGAGTAGAGGGGTGCCGGGGCAGCACTTCTTGCTGTGAGTCAGGAGCACTAACCAAAGGTCCTGGGTAGTGAAATTGTTCATGAGTATAAGTGTTGAACACTGAAGAAATGGTCTGTCTCCACAGGTGGCTTTACTGGAGACCAATCCATATCTTCTTGGTCTGACCATTGTCGTGTCCATCGTCCACAGCATCTTTGAGTTCCTGGCCTTCAAGAACGGTACTTACTGGAATTGGGATTGGGCTGTTCTTTGGACGAATGGCTTTGTTACCATGTGCTTTGTGTCTTGACTGTTCAGCCTTTTTGACTTACCTTGTTTGTGATCATATTGCTTTTACCAGGGTTGGTATCTCGTTTGACAAGGATGTCATGCAATAGATTGTAATACTAGATTATAGTCGTAGATTATGTCTTATGTCTGACAGGGTGGATTTTCTTTTGACTGGACATGTATAATGCTTTTAAGAATTGCCGATTGTGGTCATAGTTTTTATTCTTACCCTGTGGCTGTATCCCTCTTCTAGACATCCAGTTTTGGAACAGCAGACAGTCCCTTGAGGGTCTCTCTGTGCGTTCAATCTTTTTTGGGGTCTTCCAGTCTCTGGTGGTGTTGCTATACATCCTGGACAACGAGACCAACTTCGTGGTGCAAGTCAGCGTCTTCATCGGGCTACTTATTGACTTCTGGAAGATCACCAAGGTTGTGGACGTGAAGGTGAGATGTGGGGCATGCTTCTTGCATGCTTCCTCCGCCACTCAAGGTTTGCTCCTGTGAGTTTGGCTTCCCTGGTTGTAACAAACCTGGATGCTTTTTTTCCCCCTCCAGCTGGACAGAGAGAACAGAATTGCTGGATTATTTCCACGTTTAACTTTTAAAGACAAGTCCACGTACGTCCAGTCCTCCACCAAAATCTACGATGACGTAAGAGCACATTCCGGCGAATACATATCGGCGTTAGGTTCTGTAGCATCATCTACTCTCCAAAGAATATCCTTAGCAAGACTACTTAGTCCTTTATTTTTATACAATATAAATATAAAATTTGTATAATGATTTCTAAACACCACTTTAAACATAGCTTGCTGAAATTGTTCTTCACATTTGGTACTGCTAAAATATTTGCCCAGTTAACACAACCTGATTTGTGTGAGTTTAGCGTGGTGCTGTCATGAATGAGTAAGCATGTCCTGAGAATTTTCCTGCACCATTTCAGTTTAAAGCCACAACTAACCGCAAGTGTGTGAAATGTAAACTTTCTCTGAATATTTCTATACCTCTTCCCTCAACCCTAAGAACAGTTTCTTCACAAATTGTGGCATTTGCACTTTAAAACTCTCCCTCGAGTATCACCTTGCCCCGTGTCTTTGGCTGCAGCTCATTGCCAGTTGCAATCTTTTTCACACTACCGGTTTTGGAGTTGACGGGTCCAGATATCAGATTTCTAGCAGTCTACATATCTGACAGGTGTCTGCAACACATCGGTGACTGTCCAGTCATGTCTTTGAACTAATTGAGCACTGATATGCCAGTGCCAAGTCAACACTGAGTTGCCTGCATTACCTGACAAAAGCGCATACTAGGGTGATGTCTTAAATGAGTCGGCATATTGGATGCGTTTCCTGAAAACTATCGGAGTTTGGTGTAACAGAACCACCAGACATTCTTAGTCTTACCTACTTTCTCTTTCTGGTGTTGGTGTAATTGTTAGGAAGCCAAAATGTTCCCAAAGTGCTGACTAAAGTATTGGGGGAGGGTCTTTGAGCTCTAGCACTAGCTGTAACCAACTCAAAGCCCCCATCAGTGTAGTAGTTCCCATGTTGAACATCTACTTGTGAATTTAGGTTTCACCTATGTCAAGAAATGTATTAATTCGTTCCATTGCGTGTTCCAAACCGAAAATGCCGTAACCGAAAGGCGTAAGATGAGTGTCTACCGTCTTTACTTTAAAATGTAGGCCTGAAATGCTCTTCATCAAAATCCGTTTAAAAATCGCAATACATTTCGAATTGGCAAACACTGATTCTGGGCCAGTCACTGCCGATTCCCATCCCGAATTTATACATGTGTATAATATGAGTAGGTAAGGAGCATGCACTGATTAGAGCGTTGCCACACCCACCATACGACAAAGCACCTCAGGGATGAGAACCTGAGTGCAGCCATGTGGTGGGTGATACCTCGGCACCTCGAGTGTTGGTTTTTTTTTTTTTTTCCCCCTCCCCCCTAGTGGCTGGAGTGCTAATCCTGCCACCAGCCTTCCCCCCCCCCATTTTCCCTGTAAGTTGGAGCATCTCCTTGCACGGTTGGATGTAGATTAATGTCATACCCAGGATGAAACAATTGCAGCCTTGCTTATGGAGTAGGATCACTCCCGGCATTCACGGGATTCGAGCCAGCGGCCTTCTGACTGCTGGCACAGATCCCTGGCCGCGGAGCCACTACTCCGCCCTACATAATATGATTGATGCATATTTTATGCACCACACCTCCCCCAGCCCCAATTGTATGTATGTATGCATGCCTGTATGTATGAATTATTTTGCTGTTTTTTTTATAATTATTATAGAATTATTCACGACAACTGACACCCCTTCCTTTGGTTCTTCAGATGGCTTTTAGGTACCTTTCCTGGCTGCTGTATCCACTGTTTGGCTGCTATGCAGTCTATAGCTTGATATACATGGAGCACAAGGGCTGGTACTCCTGGGTGCTGGGGATGATGTACGGCTTCTTGTTAACCTTTGGTGAGTTACCTCCCTGAAAGCCACACGCTCGGTGCTAGAAGCCTAGAAGTTTTTTTTTTTTTATATAACCCATGATTGTGTTCCGCCCCCAGGCTTCATTACGATGACACCACAGCTCTTCATCAACTACAAGATGAAGTCTGTGGCCCACCTCCCATGGAGGATGCTTACCTACAAGGCCCTCAACACCTTCATCGATGACCTGTTTGCCTTTGTCATCAAGATGCCCATGATGTACAGAATAGGCTGCCTGAGAGATGGTGAGTTCGTCGTCGTCCTGCACACATCGCACATTCTTTTAATCATTGAACGTTTTTCTTTTTCAATGTCTTATCGCTCTTATTGCCAAATGCTAAGATGAGTCCCAGATGCATTTTTTAATATTTAACTTATTGTAGGGACAGTGCTAATGAACCTCAGTCCATCCTCACCAGTCTGATTTATTTATTTATTTGCTACATATGATAGCCCCTAGGTATTTACCCATGTCCTCCACAAAGTCTGTTTCTGGTTACTTGCCTCGCTAAGGAGTTTCTTGGTTTTTTTTTCTTCCTTTTTCTTTTATCCGTCTCTCCCACAACAGATGTTGTGTTCTTTATCTACTTGTACCAGCGCTGGATCTACAGAGTCGACCCCAACCGCGTTAACGAGTTTGGCACCAGTGGTGTAGAGCACGTCAAGGACAGCACAGAGCAGGGGCCTGCGGGCAGTGAGGTCGCAGCCATCTCAGACAAGCCAGAGGGGGAGAAGAAGAACGATTAACTGCACAACACCACCCATTTTCTCCATCTTTACCTAGAAGCAGAAACCAGGCAGAATTTCTATTCCATAGGCCACTGAAGTCAGGCGGAGTCATTTTGTTCTGTAACGGACACTACAACAAATTCAGTAAATTTTTCTTCCTCTGGTGCAATCTGCAGCTCCGATCATATTTAATGTAGACTTCCCATTTTTAAAGAAAAGAAATCCCTTTTTTGCAGTTTAAGTGAAGTAAATGTTGTACTGTATTATGTGTTTTGGATGCGTAAAGTTGGTGTTTTGGAGAGCTGTGTGTGGTCAGTGGGAGAGGGTTGAGGCACTATTTGGTGGGCAAGGGGCGGGGGGGCTTTAGTGCATATCACAGTGCTGTATTTTAAAATACAGCACAAGAAAGACCATGGGCAGTCTCTTATCTTCTCTCTCTCCCTCCAGTCTGGATATCTTGTGACCTTTTCATTCCATGTGTGAGTATTAAGGTCGGGGAAACCTGATTTAACATTGTAGACAGTACTGTGGGCTGGTAAGTGTGCTGCGTGTAACCAAAAAATGGCTGACTGTCCAAACAGTATCTAGAAAAGCGAGAGCCCTGAATTGTTTTAATAAACAAGTGGTTGATGTCCAAGACACAAGAACAAGAACAGCCTTGTAGGTATTAATATACATTAGTAATATACTTTTTTCCATTTTTTTGTATGTTCTAAAACTGTACAGAATTTCAGCTTGTATTAATACTGATGTCAACAGTCTAGCAGTAGCTATTGTGCAATGAGTTTTTGCTCTGGACTGCTATTTTTTTTTATTATTTTTTTTTTAATTATACAGTCTGCAGCTGCAGGACCCCACTGTTTGAAGGAGTTAATCCCAGTGACCAATGTTTGTTTGCAAGCAAAAATGTTCTCTTGCAGTTTCCTTGTTTTTTTTTCCCCCCGAACTTTGTCTATTGTGGAGCGGAAGTACAGTTTAAAGGTTTTATTCTTTGTGTACGAATGTCTGCAAATTAATTTATCAAGAGGGGAAAAAAAAGGAAAACTAAACCACCACATAACTAGCTGTCCTGCTTCATGACTATAAAGATCAATGTAATGTAATAGGTTCTGGTAGCTTTTTTTTTATTACTGTAGTTGTAATAGGGATGATTCCTCAATCTGTGGTTGGCAAAAGCGATAAGCACTGGTGAGTGAAAACCCACAGCAATGTGGTAGCATGCTTTTAGAGGGAACTCCTGCATCAGGGTTGTGCTTTTCTGATTTCGGTAAGAGACTGAATAGTGAGTTCCCACTTTATTTTGATGTTGTACTCCCAGAATGAACTGAATTGCATTATACCTGGTATAGTCATTCCTAAAGAATTCTGGTTCTATATGGCGACATTGATAGACATTGTAATCGAACTGAAACATCTCTCCTTAACTAATAGTGAATTAATCTGACACACCATACACTAGAAGTGGGGTTTTTGCGGAGCAAGTTTTTCCCCGTTCCTGTGCTGAAATGCATGGTTAGGCCCCAAATGGCAGTTGTTGACTTTCAGATTATGTAAAGTAAGCAAGGTCTGAAGTACCGACATGCTCTGTGGCGTCCAAAACTACCAGTGCTGTGCAGAGTGGGTAATGCATTAAATAATGTCTAAATGGCACTTTGAATGGAAATGCTATGCTCAGAGATGCACTGCTTTGGTTTTATCGGGAAGATGATTAGTGAGTTAGTGATTTTAGTAGCTTTACGGTAGGGGGCTTGGCCATAAAAGAAGATACACATCGTTACCAGAAGACCCAACTGAGATTTTACCAGCCTTTGACGAGTGTGGACTGCTACTCTTACTATGCAGTGCCTAGTCTTGCCAGATTCTTGCATACCTTTTGCTTTTGTAGTATAAGCAGTTCCTTTAAGGCTTATGTAGTGTTATTTGAGCACTTTATAGAATAGATGTGCTGTACTTTAAATCCATAATTCTAGCTCTGAATAGAAATTTTGGTTCTCAGCCACTGGTATAATCCATATAGACATTGTCTGGCACGAATGTACCATTCAGAGTAAAGATATAAGGGAGTGGCCAGCTTTTCTAATGAGAATCATGTACAGAACTAACAGTAGAAGTTGGATCGCAACTCCACATACCCCAACGGGTAACTGTTCAGACTCCAGGAACAGAATGCACACTATTGACTTACTCCCTAAAACAGGAGTAGGAAATCTTATCCAGAAAGGGCCGTTGTGTGTGTTTTTTGCTGCAACTCCCTAATTAGATCACTAAGTAGAGGACTGATTGGCTGAAGAGTTCACACCTGAGTTTGATCAGCTGACCTGATCCCACAGGTCACACAAACCTGCATACACTCTCCCATTGAGGATAAGATTGCCCACTCCTGCCCTAAAACATACATACTCAGTTGGTGTATGAAGGCTGGCTTTCGCTTTTCCCACGCAAGTCCAGGCCAGGTTGTTCGTTTGCAAAATAAGATGACGGCTTAAGCATAAGGAATGCTGGCTGTCGGCTGATCATGTGCTCGGCTTTTACTTCTATATTGGTTTCTCTGCCTGCCATGTCATATTCCGGGTAACATCCAGGTCTTTGTACCTGGGCTATAAGAAAAGGAAAATTGTAACAGAGGTGGTTTAAGGCCCCAGATGATTGTAGGACCAGCTGTGGTTGTCACTGTTTATAGTAAAGCAAAATCAGAGTCTGAGTGTTCCATAAGGTTAGGGTGTAACTCTTGGGTGCCCAAGACTGTTGGCTATTAAATTGTCAGCACAAATTTGCAGTTGTGTTGCATATCCCGAAATTTACTGTTTCCTGTCATGATCCTTTCTCACCACAAGATGGTGCTGGAAACACATTCATAGGCCTGGAAGTCCACGTTTCTCCACATCTGTTTTAACATTTCTCTGTTCTCAAACGAGTAATGTGCATATCCAAACTATGCATTTGCATGAGGCCCCCTGCTGGCCACTAGCAGTCACGACACCGTAGCTGTTCATATATCAGGAACATGGGCTTCCAAAGGTCTCTACATGTCACTTACAACATGCAGAACTGTGAAGGAACAGAGCCTACACAAAATAACAGCAAGTTCTCACCCAACATATTTACACTGTCGTCATTTTGCATTTGTCGCAGAGGCTATCCTAATCCACAGGGTGGGTAGTTCAAAAGTTTGTGTTTCATCTTGTTTGTGGACTTTAGCTCTGCATTTAATACTGTTCTCTCAGATTTAATGTGGACAAAACTCTGAAGTATCTGATCCGCTACGCATGTGAATCAACAGCTTCCTCACAAACAGAACACGACGCAGAACCACAGACCATCAGCACTGGAGCTCCACAGGGCTGCATGCTTTCTACTTTGCTCTTCTCTCTACACAAAAAACTGCATGTCAGGGGACACCTCTGTAAAACTCATTAACTTTGCAGATGACATAACCCTGATTGGACTGATTCAGGACAGCAGTCAGTCGGCATACAGGGAGGAGATCAAGCAGTTGACGGTGTTTAAACAACCTAGAACTCAATGCCCAAAAAACTGTTGAGATGGTGGTGAACATCAGGCGAAATCTCCCACCCTGTGTCCCACCATAACCATAAAAGGCTCAACCATCATTACTGTTGAATCTTTTAAATTCCTAGGGATCACAATTTATCATGACCAGAAATGGCAGCTCAATTTCTTCATCTCAAAGAGAACCCAGCAGAGGATTTACTTTCTGAAACAATTAAAAATGCACCATCTCTCTCAGTCTATGGTGGTCCAGTTTTACACTGCAATCATTAAGTCCATCCTCATCTCCTACATCACAGTCTGGTTTGGATCAGCCACTTAAGGAGACAAGGCCAGACTGCAAAGCATCTTCCACTCAGCATAGAGAATAATTGGCTGTAAGCTGCCCATCCTCCAGACCCTGTACATCACCAGAACCAGGAAAAGATGTAAAATCATTCAGGACCCAACTCACTCTGCTCACCACATCTTTCAAACCTTACCCTCCAGGAGAAGATTCAGGGCAGTCAGAACCAAGACCACAAGACACGCCAAGACTTTTTTCTTCTGTATTTGCCTTTTGTAGTGTTTTTCATTACAATCTCCTTCTTTCGGCTGCTCCCATTAGGGGTCGCAACAGCAAATCATCTGTTTCCATTTCTTCTTCTCTGCATTTTCTTCTTTCACACCAACGACCTGCATGTCTTCTCTAACCAGGAGGAGGCAGAGCTGGAGGTGGCAGAGTTAAAGATGTTATGATTTGTGTTGGGGAGTGACAAGGATGGACAGGACTAGGAATAAGTATATTATTGGGACAGCTCAGGTCGAACGGTTTGGAGACCAGACCAGAGAGGCGAGATTGTGTAGCTTTGGACATGTACAGAAGTGAGATGCTCGATATATTGATGAATATTAACTGAATTAATATTAATTGGTATATTACTTGAATGTTTTTAGGTCCATGTCATAAGAACATTATAGAACAGTAAAATATTGTAACCATGTATAAACATAAAAACGAATCACAGTGAGGTACATGCAGTATTTGTGAAAACTGTAAAAAAATAAACAACTGGAAAGCATTGCATAAATAACATAGGTTTTCAAAATTGTCTTTTGCTTCTAAATGCTGGCAATTTAGTATAAGCAATACTTAGAGGACATTAAGGTCAAATGAATCTGGCCCCCCTCACAGAACACAGTCTGCCCACTTGAAATGTTCTAGACCAGTGGTAGCCAATCTTATCTGCAAAGGGCCGGTGTGTATGTAGGTTTTAGGGGTAACCTTTAGGTCAGCTGTTCAAACCCAGGTGTGAGGATTCTTCAGCTAATCAGTCCTCTAATTAGTAATCTAATTAAGGAGTTGCAGAAAAACCTACATACACAGCGGCACTTTCTGGATAAGATTGGCCACCCCTGGGGGGTATTTTTCGTACGAGGATTACTCATTTAACCAGATGTAATTGCTGACGATTTGGCATGATCCTGGATCTGTCGGTTTTTCTAAACTGTTGCTGGATGTGTGGTCATAGCAGCACATCCAAATCCTCAAACCTGCTCGGAGCAGGTTGATTCTACGTAAACAAGGATTAGCTCACACACTTATGGGATATTTCACAAAGCAGGATTTCTTGCTTGGCCACATAACTTGCCAGATTTAAGGTAGTCTGAACTACATTTAAGTGGATGAAGATATAGTCCATTTAGCCCAGACTACCTTAAAACCAACAAGTTATCTGAACAAGCTAAACAAGAAATCCTGCTTTGTAAAATACCCCCTTAAATGGGCCCAGGGACTAAATAAATAAAGATTTTATCAGTGTTATCAGTTCTGTTTTCGGGACTGCGAAAATTAAGAAAATAGATTTACTAATTATTAGGCCTATTGCTACATGAAAGTTCTCTTGCACATTCCATCTCACCAGCTCCATTTCTGATTGCATTTTCACTATTCTTAATCCATAAGAGAGAGATCTCTCTCGGAACCTGCGTGTGAGTGTCAGGGTCGGTGGCCTTCGTGTCTCCTCCCCATTTGGCCAGCAGGTGTTGCTGGCCATCCTGTCCTCTTCCCTGTCTCTTACCCTTCAGTCCCAGTGTCTTTCTCCTTACTCCCCAGTCTGCCCAGTGCATAACTCAGAGAATGAAAACCCCCTGTTTGTAGGTCCTAGGCTGGCCAGAAACTAGTCTCATTTGGTACCAGGAAGCAGTCTATTATTTGGTTTCCCTAGTGTTTGTTGTAGTTATTTTAGTTTCCTGTTTTGGTTTGCCCTGCTTGTGTCTAGTTTGATTTTGGTTTTTACCTTTTGTTTCCAATTTTCTAGTTTTGGAGCATGTTATAGTTTCTTGGTTTTTGTGCTCCTTCACTTGTAATCTACCCCACCTGTTCCTTGTTGACCCAAGTCCTTCTTGATTTGTTCATTTGAGTATGCTTTCCACCTGTTTTGCCCTGGTGTTCCTGTGTATTTAGGGACCTGTCTGTGTTCATTGCCTTAGTGAGTCATTGTGTGTAGATGTTACTCTGTGTGGTTGTTTCCTTGAAGTCAGTATCTGTTCGTCTGCATTTCATTTTTTTTTTGTATCCATTTTCTGTAGCCCTGGTTGCCCCCCAGTTCTGCTCCTGGTTTCACCATCTCCTCAGTTGTTAGTTTTAGTTCTTATTTTCCCTGCTTTCTTATTTGATCCCTTGTGGTCTCTTTATTTTTATGGTTTATCCCAGTTTTCAGTTTTGTACTTAAACCCTGTTTTTGTCTTTGTGCCATAATTGGATCATCCTTGTTCTACCTGTGCAATGCCGCGCCATGACAGAATGACAGAACAACAATCCCCCAGCTCTTTGCTCTCTCTCACATTGGGCTTCATTTCCCTTGCACCTGCTGCTGACCCAGTGGCGCTTGGGTCAGAGAGCTTGTCCCTGGGACCAGTTTTGGCTGTTGTCCTGTTGACTAGCAAGTCCAGACCCAGTGATCAGGATGTCCTGAACCTGTGGTATAGGACATGTTTGACCCTCAAGTGATTCAAGATTTCTGACGATGCCATTTCTTGAATCCCCAAGTTCCATAGGAGGGTGAGAACAGCAGCTGTTCTCATCCTGGCTTCCCTGTTCTGGGTTGCCCTGCTTGTGTCCAGTCTGATGTTGATTTTTGCCTTCTGTAGCCTGCCCTAGCCTAGCTGCTGCAGGGCGGTAGACCTCCAGGAGCAGGATTGGACACCCCTGCCTTAGAAGTTCAAACAATAGGGTGACTCTCATCCTAGGATGTATGTAATAAGTATAGCTGTATTCGTACATATGGTTGACATTGAAGCACTTGGAATGAAAGTTTCATTATTATTTGTTGTTAATTCTGAGGGTCCTCCTGCTTCGCTGCTGAGACATTCATGTTATGCATTGACCAAAAGGTTGTCAACGACCGCATCACAACCTTCACCTCTGCAATTTGTCTGATGTTTGACAGTTATTACTGCTTCAACATACACTACCCAGTGGAACTGCGATCAACATCGGGGTTCCTCCAATGGTAAATTTCTTTTTATCATATTTAAAAAACATAGCCTTTTATATGCTGCCTCAGTTTGTTATATTCCTCTCTTCTCTTTTTTTTCATCAAGCTGTTTCTTTTCCATTAATCCTGAGAGAGGCACCAAGGTTGAGTCAAAGAAGAAACAACTGTTGTCAGTCAACCCCAGAGTTCTCACTCTCATCTCAGACATTGCACACCATGAGTGGACCTAGACATACCCACAATGTTTGGCTATGATGTGATAAGGTATGCTGCGTGTTACATACACTACAGATGTTTTGTTGTTAAAATCATACCAGGAGTTACGTTTCTGAAAGTCAGTGTAACAGTGACAAGTTTTACTAGATAAAATGTCTGGTACTATTTGTAAAAGTACATGCTCAGCTTTATTGCACTGTAGGTATAACCTAGTTCCGGGGGGTTCCTGCATTTCAGTTTCCCTATGGATTTAGAGGTATTGTTTCTTGAGATTTATGATGCAAGACTTCAAACCTTTACTCCCCTTTAGTGATTGTTGTATTCAAATGATGTGCTCTATGTATATTGCTTGTACAGTGGTACCTCAGTTCTCAAACTCATTAGAACTCAAATTTCTTAAAAGTCAAACCAACCAGTTTGAAAAAAAATTACCTAGAGCTTGATCTGAATCTCAGAAGTCAAACCGTGAACTCCGACCTAAGATAACTTGTACACGCGGGTAAATGAGTCACACTGCACGTCTCTCAGCGGAAAAATAGGGTAAAGCTTCAGTCTCAGCCTTGCA